TCATCGCGAGCTGACCGTGCCTCTGTAATGCTGGGCTCCAATTTTTCCAATTCCTCGTCGGTCCTCTGGATCACTTCGCGCTGGTGGGTGTAGTCTTCCTTGAGTGACTGTATCTGGTTCTGAAGGTCCTTTTTCTTCTCAAGCTGTCCTGCGGCGCGACCAATCTTGTTCCGCAGCTCACTCTTCTCAAGTTCAAGTGAGTTGACTTGGTCTTTCATCCGCTGCCTATCGGCTGTGAGCTTGGTAATTTTATTCTTCAGAGTTCTGATCTGCTCGGATATGCTTGACTGAAGCTCATGAATCTCTTCCACGCTGCGAGTCACCCCGCCGGACGATTGCTGGGACACGATGCGGTCCACCTGGGTCTCAGCGTCTTTGATTTCTCTAACAGTTTGGGAAATGTTTGCAACCGTTTTAGACAAATCTCCGAGGTCTCTTAACTTCTCCTCTGCTGCAGCAACCAAAGCGTCTTCATCTTCGAGTTCTTTTTCTAGCGTTTCGAATTCATTTTCAGCAGTTTTCCATTCGTCTTGGAGAGCGGGCAGCTCTGCTGAAAGCCGCTCATACGTATCAAATGCTGATCGCACCGCACGCAGCGCTTCCAGATTATCCACAGCCTCTTTCAAGTCCTTTTCAGTATCGACTTTGCCTTTTGGATCCAAGTGCTTATCGATCTTCTTGCTCAGGCGGTCAAGAGCTGCGCTTTGGCCATCGTCAAAATGACGATCGCACAGCCTGCATTTCTTCTGGGTATCCAACATGCGCTTGCACTTATTGTAATAGTCAAATAGGGCATCAAAAAGGCTGAGATCGGTCCGGAGCTCTTCAACCTGTTGTTCCACAGCAGCAACTTCGTCCACATAGTCTTCTACCACCGCATTGTCGCGTACGTTTTGCAGCGCAGCAACAACTTTTTGCTTCATTTGATTCATCTCTTGCGTCTTCTTACCGTGCGTCTCTTTGGCAGTTTTTAGCCTGTACTCTACTTTTTGCTGTTTCTGCCTCGTCTGATCCCGACGCTTTTGCGCCTCTTGTACGGCTTTGCTTTGGCGGCTTTGAATCGATTGGAATCGAGATTCCAGAGTATGCGGCTCCCAGTCGTCTCCGAGGGTGTTACTAAGCTTGGGCTTCCACGTCTCTATCAGAGTGTCAAGTTTTCGTTTCCGATCTGACATCTCCTTCTTCCTCAGCTCTAGCTGTGCGCGCTCCGACGCCAGTCGCGTGCACTCAACGAGCTCGCGACCAAGCTTCTCATTTTCGTTGTCCAGCTGCCACTGCTTATCATTGGCTTCAGTCAGCTGTTGGTCCCAGTTGGACTTTTCCAGTTCTTGCTGAGCATGCTTGAATCTGGATTCCAGCTCATCAAGCTGTCCGTCAAGAATAGCCTTGGCTCCCTCATCAACGTCAATGTTCCCAGCTTCATTCTGAAGGACGCTTGTACGCTTTTCTATAGCCCCCATGCGCTGTTTGGCAGAGACGCGATCTTGAGTCCTGGCCGCTTTGCGCCCCTCAAGCTCAGTAATCACACCTGTAGCCTTATCTAGCTCCGCGGCGTTCTCCTTTTGTAGTCGTTCCAATTCTCGCCTCTTTTCAGTCAAGAGCTTTTGAATTTTGTCTTGGAAAACTTGTATATGCTGATCGCTTACGTCTTCATCAAACCCTCTAAAGTTGTATTGGCTCGCAGCCTCCTGGACCAACTGCACTCGCGCTTTTAGCTGTCGTTCATATTTCTCCTTGTCAGACTGTAGTTTTCCCTGTTCGGCCAACTTTGCTGATTGACTTTGGCGGTGGTTCGTCAGTTCTTGTTGGAGCTCGGCGTACTGTGCCTTATTCTGCTCAGCCTCTTCCTGGTAGCGCCCCATACTTTCCTCGTACTGGGATAGAGCGCGCTCCAGTGCATCATCAGTTTCAGGCAATTCATCAATTGTCTGTTTGAGCTCATTAATGGCATCTTGACGGTATTCAAGCTGCTCCCGCTTGTTGCTGAGATTTTGCACGATCTGGAGGAAGCTGTTGGCCTGTTCATGCTTCTGTTTTATTCTAACCTGTGTTTCCTGCATCTCGACGGTAAGAGCTTCGCACTGGTCGCGAGCCGATTCAATCTCAGTTTGGAGCCCACTCATACGCTTCTCAGCACGTTCGCCTCTATCTTTGTTGGCCTTGTTGTGGGCCTCGTCGTTCTGCAGCATCGAAAGCTGCTCCACCTGTTTTTTCCGAAGCACCTTTAGGTTCTCGATTGCCTTTGTGTATTTTTGGGCCTCGAAAATCTCGTCGAAGCGCTTCTTCAAGGCTGAAGGCTCGCTTAATGGCCAAAGCGATTCATCTTGGTGGCAGAATATGACAGCATCGAGGACAGCGCGAGAAACGCCGAGTCGTTCGGGAATCATTTCGTCAAGCTGTGCTGTTCTGGTTGATGTTGTCGTCCGCTCCCCATTGTTCACGACCACCAGCGAGCAGTCAAGCGTCTTTAGCGATCGGGTGTTCTTCTTGGCAGTGAGCTGCATGCTCCGAGTAGCCACATGTTGCCGGTCGTTGATAGAGCGAAACTGTAGCTTGACCTGAGCCAGGACTTCCTTTTCGCCAGCGAGCTAGACAGAACCCATTGTCAGCTGTCACACAAGACAATAGCACAGACACATGCCAGGCAGAAGCTTGGTCGAAAAGCCTACCTTTGGATCGTGAATAAAGGCACCCCCGACTTTGCTGTTTGGGGGTTGTTCGCCGGTAGTCGCATACTTGAGACACTCGATAATGGTCGTCTTTCCGGATCCATTGTAGCCAACGATGAGGGTGAGGGGGGTGTTAAACTGAATAGCCTCACGCACGGCTGGACTGAAGGACCGGACGCCAGAGATGGAGAGCTTGTCTATTCTCGACATGGTTTAAGGCTGGATCACGGGAACTGCGCTCAATACTTTGCTTGCAACAAATGCTGGCAACTGTTGAACGACCCAATGGCAGAATGAGAAGCGAGAGTCAGCGCTGTGGCATCTCCCTTGCGGTGCTACAGTATTGTCGCCTTGCACTGGTTTCAGTCTATGGTTGCATCCAGCCACTGATGCCTGCCAGCCAGTTTCTCGAGGCTTCACTGCGAAACGCGCTCCAGGCAGCGGTCACGCGTTGAGTGAAACGGTGGATAGATGCGTCCTCACGTGGCGGGTGCGATAAGATAAAGCCCGACCCCTCTCTAGTATGTACCTACGGCTGGTTCGTCTACAGAGTCTTTTGCGGTGCTACAAGTACGTCGCTCAGCCACTGACGACGCTGGCTTGCATATTATGGAGTCCCACCGCTCGAAATGCTGGCATCACGGATAGCCCGTCGGATGGACAATTGGATGCACGGCAGATGTGGCGGAAACAAGGTTCGTTTCCTTATTTTTCTTTTTCTTTTTCTTTTTCTTTTTTTTTTTTTCTTTTTTTTTGTCTTCTTTCTCTCCCCTCGCTCTTGCTCTTTGTTGCGTGTCCTGATCAGCCCAACTCAATCTGGCTCAGATGACGGGCATATGTCCATGTATAGCCTGGATACGCAATACCGGCTGCTGGTTGGCTCTCCGGATCAGCCCCAGAGACCCAAGCTGCGATGCATCAGGAAAAAGATTTCCCTTGCATTGCCCATCGCGCGACCCCGCCAAGTGGTCGAATCGGATTGTGCCCTCTGCTGGCCCGAGGTCTGCAAGCTGGCTGCGCTACCAAACCGAGCACGAAACGCCGGTCAGCAGGCCTAACTGCGTGCGCACCGAGCAAATGGATTGAGCATGGCAGTCACAGCACTCTTGTGGTTTTGATAATTGCAGTGTAGCCGTGCTATTTGGCGAATACATGTACCTGTTTGGCGATGCTACGCGCCAGGGACCTCTGATCAGATGCGTCTCAGCGATTGCCCAAGCTGGACATGCCCGCAGGTACCAGGTCCCAGGTACCTTTTGGCACTACTACTAGTAGGTGGTATATCCCAGACATGATACACTCGACAATCCTCCGTCATCAGGCGGCATGAATCAATCAAAATCAAAAGCTGGAGGACCGCTTTTTAGCGTCTCTGGCCACATCCTCCCGCTGCTGCCGCTAGAGCATTAGAGGCTGCAGGATTTGAGGGGGTTGCGTCATTGCTGGGAATCTTCAGAGTCGGTCGCTTTTTGCACATTTGCCCACCCCGCGCAGCTTTTGCTGATAGCGGGCAATACTACCTACTTTTGGCACCCTTGGCTTCCGTGTAGTAGCTTTGATGTCGTCAAGGTGCTTTTTTCTTGTTCACCTTTTTTGTTTTTATCTTGCTGCGGACAATTCTTTGCTTTTTAATAGCGGAGACTCAGGTGGCAAATCCTTCCCAGGAGTAAGAGACTCGCTTGCCATGGCACTTGTAAAAAAGAAAAAAGAAAAAAAACCGTAGTAAAAGTGCCTGTAAGTAATACCTAATTCGGCAAACTGCCTGGCGGATTATCAGCTGGTGCAGCATCACTCTCGTAAGACGACATCCCGGTAGTATTACTGCGTCCCTACGGCCTGCTGCTGGCGACTTCTCGAGACGCGAGGGAGACCAGTTGCCCTTTGAGGCCATGAAACAGCTCCAATCAGGGCCAGATCAAGCCCGCTTTTCACTCGGGGTCATTTCTCCGGGCTGCCAGCCAGCGCTTGCGAGGTGTTTCTGCTCGCCATCAGTCAGCCGCCTGCTAGCGAAAATCCTGGACTAGCTGGAATATCGCAAAAAAGGTGCCTGTCTTTGTTTTCCATTTTTGATGCTGCACGAACGGCTGGATTTCATCATCGCAAAAGCCCGCCAGAAGCTTCTCCCCCCCCCCCCCCCCCCTTCTTCCCCCGAGCAACCCGCACAGCAGATAGCTCCAGTGCCATCGTCTGCTGCCACAGCGCCCGCCCGGCCCTACCAAGCGAAACGCCCCCAGAGAACGCCACTGAACGCAGCGATAGCTGCCAGCTGCCCGCTGCCCGCTAGGCTAATGCGTAGAATCCAACCACTGGTGGTATAAACATACCGAGACCATGTCCCACGGGCCGCCTCCACTCCACGAAGACCTGTTCAGCTTCGCCAACTTCGATGTCCTCCCCGCGTTCCTGGGAGGCCACAGCCACGCCATCCCAGTCTCAACCAGCATGGCCGATGCGCTCAGCACCGACGACGGCAGCATGGCTTTTCTCGACAGCGACATCATCGAGAGTTTTGGTGGCGACTTGTCCATGAGCTTGGGCTCGGCAGCGTCTGTGCTAGACGGCGACAGCGGCGGAATGGGCAGCGACATGATCTCGCCAGAGGCCATCCTCAACGCAGAGAACCAGTTCAATCCGGTTGCCAACGACGTGCCCGGTGCGGGGCCTCTGCCAGCGGCCGCATTCACTCCAGGAAACGCAGCGAGCCAGCCCAACAACAGCAACAACTCGCTGACCGAGTTCACCAAGCGCAAGAACTGGCCGGCAAAGGTGGTCGAGGAGCTCAGCGACCTGCTGCAGCTCCTCGATTCCAATGGACGCATCAAGTTCTCGTCTCCCAGCATCACGGCATTGGCGGGGTACACCGTCGAGGAGGTCCAGGACGTTTTTTTAAAGGACTTGATCCATCCCGACGACCAGGGCGTGCTTGTCTCCGAACTCCATGAATCCATCGCAACCGGCAACTCTTTACGCATGTTCTATCGGATGAGGAAGAAGGACGGCACGTATGCGATATTCGAGGCCGTCGGCCATGCCCACATTGCGGCTGCTAGGTTTGCTCCAAATCCAAACAACCAGTCGCCTTTTTGCCAGGCTGTCTTTATGATGGCGCGACTATACCCCACGAAGAACGCCACACTTCTGGATTCGTTTTTGGAACACAAGATAGAAAATGAGAGGCTGAGGCGCCGCATCGCTGAGTTGCGGAGAGAAGAAGAGGCAGAAGTGGAGGAGGCACAAAGGCAGTGGGCGCAGAGCCGAGACGGGCGGTCAGACATCACTCCATCCGAGGGGACCGGCATGTCGTTGACACCACTTCCCAGAATGGGCCAGGAGATGATATCGTCAGAAAACGATGACGGCGCTTTAACGAGGAAAAACCTAGAGGATGCCACGTCAAAAAGTCGCCAGGACTCGTTGCGTGATAAAATGGCTCGGATCGAAGCGTCCTCAGCGGATACCATAGCGTTGTTGACCGGCATAGAGAATGGAGAGCGGATGGCTACCGGTAACCGCAGCCCTACCCTCATCAAAGGCGATGCCGGAATTGCTATTCCCATGGATCGGGAGAATAGATCAGGAGAGAAGAAGAAGAAGCTGAAGCTGGCAGAAGAATACGTCTGCACTGATTGCGGTATAGCACCCTTTTTGGCAATGATTTGCTGTTCCCGGCTGGGAGATGGGATTCCCCTCCATCAGCATTATATCCCAAGGCAGCTACTAATATCAATCTCAGGCACTCTCGACTCTCCAGAATGGCGAAAGGGACCCAATGGGCCAAAGACGCTCTGCAACGCCTGCGGGTTGCGGTGGGCGAAGAAGGAAAAGAAGCGCAACAACAGTATCGGCACGCCATTGTCTAAGCCAACGGCAACTCCAGCTGCAGGCTAATGGACAAACTTTGATTCAAAATCTCGACCGGAAAGCGAGAAACAAGGAAAGAGAGGAAGAACGGGAAACACACGAAGCAAGATATAACTTATTAGTTATACAATACGGCCGGACCGGGACGACACTGACTACTTTTTAAGATGGAACCCTGATAATGGAGTTTGGTTTGGTTTAAAGATGCATATATCACTGGCGACAGGGACCTGCTTACACATTCTTACTGTTCTTGTTGTCACAGTTCTGGAGGAAAACGACTTTGGAGGGCCTTTTTTTGTTTATTTTTTTTTTTTTTGTCATCTTTTCTTTTGTCTTCTCTTTTGTTTTAGGCATCTGTACACGATTATGATACCATGGGAGGCAACAATTGGGAGCCGAATTAGACGGATACGGACTCTGGCGATTCTGCCTGAGGGCATCACGCACTATTCTGCGGTTTTTTTTTTCTTTTGGAACACGCATAGATTAAAGCATTGACTATTATTATTGTTTTGTTATTATTTTTTAACTTCCTTCTTGCCGTCTATTTTACAATATGAATCTTTTGGCATACGAGCTAGGTCATCCTGCCCAGCTTCGTGTACTCCTTACGCAGACCGATATCAGGCAAGCACGAAAGCAGAGGGTTTACCAGGTAGCATCTTTTCCACTTGAGAAGCCATCATAATAATAAAAGGGCAGTCAGAAACACTAGGCCGCAACTATTGCAACATCGCATGAGGTTGCTGTTGTCGCGTGTGAAAAGTGACAGGTCATATCATACCATGTCCTCGATATTGCTCTTCCCCGGGTAGGTGTTGAAATATGGATTGATTGACACGACATTGGCTCAATTGGAGCTAATAGTTGATTTAGCAAGCTTAGCCAACAAGCTTAGACGACCTCATTGATCACCAGGAAAGTAAACGATGGATACGATTTGCCAAGGGTCCTTGTTCACATGGAATTCGGCAAGCCACTACGAACCCCGCGTTCTACTGAAATGTGATATCAGCACTGCTAATCATTGCTCTAGCTCACTTGTGCCGGCTCGCCCTGACGGATCCCCGCTCAATTTGCCTCGGATGCACCTCTTTTTCAGCTAAAATAGCACGGCGTCCCATAAAAATGATGGTCGTATCCATACGCGAATCCTACTAAACGGCGATCTGTTTATAAAGGCGTATTGGCCCGTCATCAAAAGATTCCGAATTGGCAAAAAGCGTCGACGGTCCATAACCTCAGCTGCATAATCCAAGATATTCAACATCTATCAACGAGGCTTGATAATGTTATAGAGCTCTTTCAAAGGTTTGTATCATCAGGATCCATTGCGGAGACGCTAGAGATGGCTGACTTTCTGCCTAACCTGCAGTCTTGCCGTGTTGCTTTATTCAAGCTCGAGTATCTTCATCCTCGTCAATTCTTTCAAGCCATCTTGAAGCTCATCACCATCCAATTGAAAAAAAATATTCATGGCTCCCCTACAGAATTTTGCAAACTATCCCAAGCCCGAGGAAGGGCCGGATACGGGATATGTGCAGCGAGTAGACCACAATCCCGTTCTCCGGGGGATTCCTCTTATGCTGGGTGGTGAGCTGTACGTATGCATGAGATTCTCAGAGACGACGTCGAACTAAATTGAGAATTATCTTTCTCATCTAGCATTGCTCGATCCAACCTTATTGCAAGATACTTTTACCAGAATAGCGGCATCGACAAGATCAAAGAGATGCATGTGCTGGATAACATCGAGTCTACTTTCCACGTATGTAAACACTTGAATGCTAGCACCCCCACCCCCCCTCATGGCAGTCTGGCATGTCTCTCGTATTAGCTGCTAATTCAAACCTCCTTTGAATACTCTCTAGCCCACAGTTACGCCCCTAGGTCCGACTGGGCCGATGCTAGCATTCGAGCCAGAGCTGCTCACCTCCAAGTACGCATCGTCAAACGCACGCTACTACTCCATCAGCGACTATCATGAGCTGTACAAGAGCGGCAAGACCACTCCCCTCAAGGTAGTAGAGACGCTTCTCGCCCTGACCACGGGGTCGGGTAAGTACAGTGACGCCTGGGCGGATGCCCACGGCGCCGAGAGGCTCGCTCTGGACGCTGCCAAGGCTTCCACCGAGAGATGGGCTGCGGGCAATCCCATTGGAGTCCTGGACGGCGTGCCGATTGGCGTCAAGGACGATACGGATGTGGAGGGCTACATCAACCACACTGGCATGAAGTACGACCCTTCGCTTGCGTGCTTTGCGGTCAAGAAGGAGTCTGTGTGGCCTGTGAAGAAGCTTCAGGAGGCTGGAGCTGTCGTCCTTGGCAAGAATAAGATGCATGAATTGGGATCAGGTACGGTTAACCGCTTCACGCCGCTGAATAACGTTTCTAGAGTGCATTTATACTAATGATTCTGCACAGATACCAGTGGCTTAAATGTAACGATGCCTGCCCCTGGAAGAGATGTTTTTACCAATCTGAATCATATGTTTATAAATGCATAGCTAACCCACACTCACCCCCCTATCTAGGTCTCACAAGGCACGCCATTAAACCATCTCAACAACGACTACTACCCCGGAGGCTCGTCCAACGGCGCCGGGTCGTCCATCTCGGCCGGCATCATCCCCATCGCCGTCGCCACCGACGCCGGCGGCAGCGTCCGCATCCCAGCCCACTTCAACGGCGTCTACGGCCTCAAGCCGACTCACCACCGCACTCACGTCATGCAGATGACCATGTGCGTGACGGGCCCGATGGCGGCAAACGTCGCCGACCTCACCATTGCCTACCGCGTCATGACGCAGCCCAACCCGGACTGCCCGACCCAGGGCCTCTTTGCGCTGTCGATCCCCCCGTCCCCGTCGGCGAAGCGCGTCATGGGCGTCTACCGCGACTGGTTCAACAAGGCCGACCCGCCCGTGCGCGAGCTGTGCGACAAGGCGCTCGACTACTTCGCCGCCAGGCGCGGCTACGAGATTGTCGACATCAGCATCCCGTATCTCTCGGAGATGCAAGTCGCCCACGGTGGCCTCTGCATTGCCGAGATGGCGGAAAAGGCCCGCCAGAGGACGCCCAACCCGGCCGACCACCTCTCGCTCATTGGGGGAGCCAACAAGATCCTCCTTTCCGTGGGTGCGCAGCCATCGGCCGCCGACTATCTCAAGATGAACAGCCTGCGCACGCTGGTGATGCGCCACCTGGCGTTTCTGTTCCAGAAGTACCCGGGCCTGTTGATCATGACACCGGCAACCCCCTTGATCGGATGGCCACGCGCGGACGGAGACGACGCCTACGGCATGAGTGACACCAATACCACCCTGAGGAACATGTCGTACATCTTCCTGGCCAACGTGACGGGCACGCCGTCCGTCAACGCTCCGGTAGGTTATGTCGACCCGCAACAGGGCGAGGGAAAGCTGCCTGTGAGCTTGATCGCCACGGGTGAGTGGGGGAGCGAAGAGCAGTTGCTGGCATGGGCGAGAGAGGCGGAGGAATATCTGCATGAGGAGTATCCCGAGGGACGCAGACGACCAGATGCGTGGGCGGATGTGTTTACGTTGACTGGTGGCCAGCAGTAAACATGAAGCTAGACGAGGTTAAGCTATATGTGCCAAATCTTCAAGTTTTGCAACAGCATGCGTGCTTTGTTTCAGAAGCATCATCTTGAGGGGTATTTCTGAGACGTAAAAAATCTTCGTAAATTCATTTCATCGTTTTACCCGCAATTTTCACTAAAAAAAAAAAGGCTACACCTAGTTGAGTGCTATGAAATTTCACACACAGTAATGGCCCTTTAGAAAAACTTGGAGGCGAGGCTCAACAGCTGAGACGTGCCTCCGCCCGAGCTGCTACCTCCCTGGCTCTTGAAGTACATCTTCATGGCCATCTCGCCGGCCTGCTGGATGACAGACTCCTTGCTGGCGTCGGAAGCTACCTGTCCGTTGGCAGCCTTGGCGTCGAAGAGCTAGAAATCACACAATCAAAGTCAGATATCATTTCTTAAGAGGGTGCAAAGAGATATGTATATATATACCTTGCTGGCCTCAGACAGGGCCAAGCCTAGAAACGCGCCCTGGCTCTGGTTACCACCTGTCTCGCCCTGGGTGAACTTCTTGAGCGCCTGCATCGCGGCGGCGGAGCCGAGGCTGTTGGAGCTCAGGTCGCTGGTGTCTTGGGAGTAGGTCTCTTGGTGCTTGCGGATGGCCTCTGTTGGAAGACTAGCAGTCAGCATACATGTATATATAGGGACATGGAGGTTGATCCAAACCTTGCTCATCAATGTCGCTGTTGGCTAGATGGCTCTTGTTCTGGCCGATGGAGCTGATGACGTTGGAGAAGATCTCGCTGTTGCCGGAAGAGCCAGCATACTGCGAGGCCTGCTGGTGAGCAGTGCGCAGCTCCTCGTCTTCGTGGTGGAAATCGCCGCCGGCAGGATAGGCACCACCGTAGGCATCTGTATATACAATCGAGAGCTTCGAGTCAGGACTGGGTATTCGCTCGGGAGGAGGTTATGAGGGGGGGTAAGTGACTGACTGTTTCCGGGAGGAAGACGGCCACCTGAAATACTCGTTAGCTTCTAGTATCTATTGCTATGCAAGCAGCACATATTTGTTTGTTTGTTGCGGGGGTTGATGCGATGGCGATGGCGATGGCGATGGTAGATGGATTGCGGCACATACCTTGACCTTGATGGGAGCCGGAACCTGAACCTGAGAGCTGCTCCGACAGGTACTCCTTGCCAGCGTTGATGAGTGAATCCATCTTGAAGTGTTTCTTTGGTTAAAATTGAGAAGCAGATACAAAGTACAACGGGCCAAGAAAATGGAATTTGCTTTTGAATGTGCAAAAAAAGGGGACGGGATCGCACACGGTAGATTTATATATACGGCACTACGTAACGCTCTGGACGCGCGATTGAAGAAAGCTACCCCGCCGCCGTGCCAAAACGGATGGCCACAGACAGACCAGAGCTGGAACAAAGAACGAAGCAACAAACCTGGCCCAGCTGAAAAATATTGAGCTAATGGAGGGGATATAGAGGGAATAAGAGGGGTCCCAACAGACCATTTTCCCATTGCGGGGTGTGTGTCAGTCCCAATAAGGGGCGTCAGTTGGAAGCCATAAAGTGCTGGATTTGAAGAGACAACTACATGTATCAAGAGTTACTCTTTGTGCCATGTAAACACCATCTTGACAAGTTGTATCAGCTCTGCCCAATAAAATTCTCGGTTTGCTACGGCTGGCTCCTTGACAGCAGCACATCTACAAAATCACATCCGGCTAATAAACCCAGATGGGTCCCATTTGCGCATGGAGATTATATGGAGTCTCCCGGCATTTCGTGGGCTGACGCGTAACCGACGAGATCCAATCACCGACAGCTTCAACTCGAGTAAAGTGCAAAAAAAAAGAGCAAAAAAGGAGTGGACAGGTAGCGAGATCTCTTTCTGTCTCTCTCTGCCAACGTCATTTCTCATTTAACATATCCTCCGAAAATCATGCTTGCTTTACCGGATCTCGGCCTCGGGCGTGCTAGAACTCTCGTGCTAACCGCTGCCTGCATGCCATCAAACGGAGCACTTCCGGCGGTTGTTCTGGAGTCCCCGGCCAGCTGGGAAGTGGGAGCTGGAGGCTAAACCTTGGCGGCCTCTGTCAGTGCGGCGGCGCATGTGCTGCTAGCCCTGTACAGCCACGCTACAGTGGAGGCGGTCCCTGGGATTGCCGTCAGGGCAAGGAGATGATGGCCGCGCGCTCATCTGCGTTGGACATTGATATCAATTTGATGTTATTGGCTGTAATGAACATGACATACTGCATCTACGGTAATTCACAACGACGACAGAGTTTCTCCCCTTCTCTGGAAGGAGATGCCAATGCTAGTCTCAACATGTGAAACGAGTTGGCTGTGATGGCTGCCTGGCTGCAGCACGTCCCTTTGGAATCTCCTTTTTGGGCCGAGGCTCTCCCACATTGTCACTTGAACTGTGCAGCTGAAACGGTTGTGTGCGTCTCAAAGCTGAATATTGACAGATGTGCAGCTTACACGCATGTCCTATCGAACATGGAGATGCGCGCATGCCGATGCCTCGAACAATCGAAAAAGGCTCCTAGATACTGCATCCGGCGCTTGAAACAGATAACCAGCCCAACAACGCCAATAGTGCAGATTCTTGCAGGTGGCAGATGCAGGATGGCAACCGTGTGACCTCTTAGGAACGCCGTGATGTAGCACGGGGCTGCGGCGTGTTTCGGCGTGGCGCTGAGACGAAGGCTGGCGGCCGAATCTGGAAGAGACAAGGCTTTAAAGTGCAGCATTGTAGCATTTCTCGGAGGCGCCTTTTTCTTTCCATGAAATCCCCCTTGATATGCGCAGCTGTTTGCTGTGGTTGCGTTGCAGGAGGCCTGCTTCACCTTTCGACGTTGGCTCTGTGTACATGTATGCTGCGCATCTCGTTCTTACAGTCCGAATAGGCTGCTTGATAATTACTTGGCATCTCTACGAGAGATAGCCTTGCAAGATATACCCCGAATCGGCAAGCCACTCGATGACAGGGCATGGATGAGAAAGAATAAGGGAAAAAAGGAATACGGGCTGTCGTGCAGCAGATTGTTCATGGGTCATCGTTGCAGCCGTTGTGACCCACTGGTACCACGCACGCGGGTGCAAAGACGGGCGGTACGGAAAGGTACATGCTCACTAACAAATCAAGAGATCAACTTTGACCATTGATGAGATGGCTGTAATGAAGCATGTGCTTTTGCATCATCACACAGTTGTGTAGTCACGCCCTTTTGCATTGTTCGGCTTCAGCAGCGGGCGGGCTGAGTTTCGGGGGATAACCCGGCACGGCATCTTGGATCCGTTGCTTGCAAGCGCGGTTCACGAAGACGATCCTCGTGCCATGTTGGGATTTGGTTCAGTCTAATCAAACGGCAGTTTATTATCTGAGGTATCAGCATTAGGGGTACCTGCAGAACATTGAACCAACAAAAACAGGAATGAAAGGCCATTTGCGTCAGAAGGGCTGCACGAGCTGCTGCTCAGATTAAAATAGTACGAGAACTTGCAAGTTCTAATTCGTAGATGACTGCAGCATTTCCAAAAATACATCTGCGGTCGGCTGACGCCACGCACTTTTTTTTTTAAGCTTCCCGTGGAGAATGCAATGGGGTGGTGGCTGAAGATGGCAGTTTGGTTTTTTTTTCTTGGTGGATCTTTGAGAAGCGACGATTGTCATTTCAATCGACGCGCACAGCCTCAAGTTTAAAAACGGTTACGGCACTCTGCGCTTCCGTCTGTGCGGCATAATCTATCAGATGCCTGACATAATCTTAGAGGAAAGTAGGGCCTTGCGATTGGGCTCTGGGCATACAGAAATGTCAAGGTAGCAGTGCTAGAGAGCATGATGCAAAGATAGATGCAGCGAACCCACCTTTATGCCCTCTGCAGATCAACGCGGCAGCACTTCGTATCGCTCAACGAATCCAGTATACCTGCTGCTGCATTCACTCATCATCGCCTGCTGCTAAAATCGTCATGCCGCCGGCACTGGTCCGTACGATGCGCAACGGTTCCCAACTGCTGCGCTCGCAAATTGAACCCCTTGGCTGGCGAGCGTGTAAGTCGGATCAAAGGCTTGATACGCGTAGGCCGGTACCTCGCAGCTACAGCCTCACAGTATGGTGCCGCCGCCGTCGCCACCGGTGCCGCACAAGTATTCACGCCGTGCCTCGCTCCAACTTGGCGCTCCCTCCGTACCGTATTAAACAATGTCTCACCATGCCAATCACCCTTCAAGCGGGGCTGCAGCGCTGATCGCATCCCGGGAACGCAAAGAGAGCCCAGCTTAGCTCGCAATGACTCCGCCTGGTCAGCCCAGCCTAGGCATGCCCCCCGGAAAGAGACGAGACCCTTGCGGCCCTCCTGGCTTTCGTGCTTTGCTCGCCGCGCTGTGCTTTTTCCTGCTGCCTCTGCGCGGCCGCGTCCCCGTCTGGATCGCATCCTGCCCACATGCTGTGTGATGAAATGCGATAAAATCAAGCCATCCGGCCAAAGCCAAGGATGCCCCGTAGTTGGTGCGACCTCGTAATGCTAGTGCCCGTGCGTGGCAGACAAGAGAGCCGCGATAGTGGGCGAAGCCATACGCCACGCGCCATCAGGTACCTCTGCTAGCACTCGCACCAAGTCGAGCAGCGCACACTCAGTAAAAGGCCCTGAACTGCTCCCACAGCGCCTTGACCACCACCACCACCACTAAAAGATACAAGTACAAAGTGCCATGGCCTCCCCTGCCTCGCGAAAGTGCGTTTCATCTTGACCCATCTAACCCTCGACCCGACCAAAATTGCCCCCTGGCGCTCCCAGCTTCTTGACTCTCTGCATCTGCGCGAAGCCGATTCTGCGTCTTCTTCTCTTCTCCTCAAACCGCCGCCGTACTTCTACTAGTACACCTTTGTTCCAGTCTCTCGTTTGTCCCATATTTCCGCTTGGATCTTGGTTGGCTTATTCGTCCAATCGACCAAGTGCTACTTCTCTATCAGTCGTGATAGATTTTCTTTTTCCTTCTTCCCTCTGCTTACTCCATATTCCCTTTTATTCTTGACTTTGCTGCTTCTTTCCTCTCTCTCTCTCTCTATCGACCCTTATTTTTCTTTCTCATCCTTCGACCGACGACCGTTTCACCAACCCCCCTTCTCACCTTGCGACCGGCGGAAAGAAATCCTCGAGCGAACTCTGGCCTGGGAATGAAATAGCTGGTTCTGGTTCACCAAAACCACCAGCAGCGTTCCGTTATCCCTTAGTCGCTTCCCGCAGACTCCCGGTAGGGGTCACGCAATAATCATCGTGGCCGCTACAATGGACGCTCGAAACTCCCTGCTGGGAGGCGACCCGACCTTCGACCAGAATGGCGCTCAGTATCACCACCGCTCCTTCAGCCAGAGCGGCGACTATGGCGCCGAATACGGCCAGGCCTATCCCCAGGCATCCCTCACTCAGGCCGCCTACGCTCAGCCGACGTATACTGAGAACGCGAGCCTCCACCAAAACACCGAAACAGCTGGTGCTGCTGGCAGCACTGGCGCAAGCAGATTCGATTTTTCTTTCGTCAAAAGCAGATGGCCTGCGGCCTTCCTGGCCGTAACTGGTATCCAGGCTCTCATCAACCTGGCCTTTGAAGCGTATGTTGACGCCCTCTTTTCATCTCATCTCATTCCCCCTTGGGTACAGCCATCAGAAGCTAAGGCGCCTTCACAGCTATGTTTTCGGCAAATTTCAGCTGAGCTTGGGTGCATATGTACCACTGCCTCAGGTCCAGTCTCAATACAAGACGATCCCTACCTTTCTTACTCTATTTATTTTCGGTTTCCTTTACGAATTGATCCTCGTGCTGGATGCCCTACGCATGAAGAACACGATTCAGATCATCGGCGTCTGCGTCGCCAATCTGGCTCTCTTGATTTACTCGGCTCTCCAGCTTGAGCAGATTCAGATGGCTCTCGGAATCCTCGAGGTCAACGGTGCGCTGGAGCAAGGCATCACATCTGCCATGCTGTGGGATGATATCAAGGCCTACCTTATCGCCACTCCTGTCATCATTGCTGTCACTACTATTATCATGGTATACATTACCTGGAAGCTCTACCAGCAATTTGCTTGGGACATTCTCAAGAACATTGGCGCCGATTATCGCATGAAGAAGCGCTTCCTTCATTACCAGGTATGTATCTAGTACACAAGCAGTTGGACTTGTAGAGATTCGCGACCAGACCCGACTGACATGACTACCAGATTTACATCGCCCTACTCAAGTTCGATTTCTTCTTCTTCTTGGGTTTCATTATTCAGTTTGTCGTCGTCGTCGCTGTCAAGACCGATCCCGAGTTCGCCCTCACGATTGCCACCATTCCGGTCACGATTGCCATTCTGATTGCTGCTGCATTCTTCACCCAGAGGGAGAACAAGCCTGGCATGATTTGCGTCATCGTCCTCTACTTTGGCGGTCTCTCCTACTTCATTTTCAAGCTCTTCCGCATCTACGAACCCAGCCGCGCCTCATCCTACTTTGCCGTTCGAAAGTCTCTCACCGCCTTCGCCGTCATTACCATTCTGCTCATCATCATGACCATCATCAATGCCATCATCTGCATGCACAACTTCGGCTCCGGCCTCAAGGCTCACCTGCTGTCTGCTCGCAAGGAGGATGAGAAGAACGATGTCAACTCATTCGGCATGAACGATGTCAAGTCCCCGATGCAGAACCGCATGACCATTGACTAAGAGGAGTCATTTGGCGCGCAGGGAAAAAAAATGATTTATTTTCCAGGCCGCGGAGATGGGGGAAATGTATAAAAGACACGAATTTACGAAAGGGAACGGGTTGGCCCCCTTTTTTATTTATCCAATAACAGCCGCGTCAAAGCAGGCTCATATATCAAGGCTATCTGACAGCCGAAAAAAAAAGGCCATGTTGGAAGGGGGATCTTTTGATAAAATCCCGTAAATTAAATGGATACCAATTTTTTTTTGTTTTGTTAACTTTCATTTTCCTTTGTTATTTTTTGATTCATCAAGTAGGCTCAAGCAATTCAAGGGCGTTGGATCTGTACTTCGCAAATACCACCGAGGACAACGGGGAGTTTATTTCTTGGATACCCGTGATCATTATATCGAAGGATATTATATAAAAGGGTGGTGGTGGCTTATTGATGACCCTGTGTCACTCCTTCGACTACTTTTGTTGTTCTTTTGCTTTTCTTAAGAAGAAGAAGAAAAGAGTTTTTTTTCGCCGCTATGTTTTCTTTAATGTGATGACATTTCTTTGTTTATCGATCTTTGTGTGTTTCTGTTCTTATCATACTGCCTTTGGTTACTGACTTTGTCTCTCTTCTTTCATTTGTCGTGAATATACTGAGTTATGTCTTCTAATAAACATGCCATGCCGTCACCGATATCAACTTACAATGAGGTAGAACGAGTGAGAGTAAGAACGAGAGAGCTGCCGGGGTGGGGGGGTGAGACGATGAGGCTTATTGTGTGCAATGCTACGCTATATTATTGGGATTTGTTCCTGATTTGAAACAGCACTGATCCTACAAAAGAGCGCTTTACATCTTACAGCGGATCCAACACGGTGAATTTTATTGCCGCCTAGAGGAAGAATAGTGAAATGAATAGCTAGATACCCAGTTGCTTATCAAAAAAAGAGGAGAAAAGAAAGTCCCAAAATCATGCTGTGGAAAAGATACTATCCTCGCTTTGATAGACAAAAAATAAAAAATAAAAGAATGAGCGAATGGAGACGAGGTCATTATTGAACATGAAATACCGTAAAACGCCAATGAAGAAGATCCAAAGCCCTCCTCGTTTATCAATAGATGTCAAGCCAAATCCTTCTTTTCCATTACCGCAAAGAGGACGAAAGAAAAGAGAAAGAAGAAAAGAGACAATGGTCTCAAAGTGTAATTTTGATGGCGTCTCTCAAATGGCCTTCTGTCGGGCAATACGGACATTTGTATCTTGAGCCCTTCGCCATGTTGTGCAGACTTTCTCTGCAAATCACATGCCCGCAAGGGAGCATCATGGCGGGATTCTGTTCCGTCGTCTGCTCCTTGCTGACAGGGCATACGAAAATGGAGTGGTAAATCATGGATGGCGGGAGAGGCGTTTCGAACGCTAGCTCGTTCTCCGTCGTCCACTCTGTTTTCTTTTCCTTTGTGTTTTTATTATACTTGATTAGTCGGGGCAAAGCAATGGAGCCGGCCGTGACGGCGACATATAACGGTGATTCAGCCGATAAGCCTAATAAAGAGCAGAATTCGCGGGTGAATGAAGCAGCAACATCTTCGAATGCCGAATCGATCTGAAAGATGTGCCGGTAGGGAGACTGCTCAATGTTTGGTGCAAAGGCGATTGCACCGCAAAGTCGCTGGATCTCTTTGAGGTGCCGACTCTGAAAGCGAGCAAAGTGTTCCTGCGCATATCTTAATGCGCCCCTTTCCCCATTCCTCTCATCGTCAGGCAGTCCATTGATCCCCGGGCCCTTGAAAAGCCATACGAATTGCAGCTTGCAGAGTTCAAACTCCAGATTGCTCCCTGCTGACTCCAGCCTGCTATTATTTTGGCGTGCCCATTTGATGGCTGGTCCTAGATTCCTGTTTCTGAGCTCGGACAGTAGGCTGTACATCTCTGCGAACTGCCCCTGGAGGTCCTCGGGATAGTTACTGACTCCATGTCCGGTTAGCCCTTCCTCCTCTCCATCTCCTTGTAACATGTCATCATCGCCATCTTCATCAGTCCGAGCCGTACGGGGAGACCAGGGCTCTAAGGAGAGGGGGGGCTGGTGGTCTCGTGACTCGCGGACAAAGGTCGATGCAACGGAAAACTGGCCCTCTCGGACGAGATGCATGGCTATGGCGCGGTTTATGAGAGATGGGTGATCCGCCATGGCATCTGTTCCCATCGGCAGTTCCCTCTGCGGCAAGGCCTGGTGGAGAAAATACAAGTCAGCATTCAGCAAGCACAAAGGGTGGACGGGTGGACATGGAGGCGTGCCTTGTCAAGGGCTTTTCCAAAGCTACGCTGCGCCTTGGTCACATCTCTGAGATCGTTGTTGATAGCTTCAAGTCGTTCTTTGACCGGATTCTGAAGCCTCGTCATTTCCATGCTGATTCGATGATGGTCGGCGTCGGCTGTAGAAAGATGGAGACGTCAGCTGCTGTCCCAGTCAAGCGATGAGGATTCGAGGCAGAGGATTCGTACCCGCAGCAATCCGCTCCCTAGCTGCTACCAGATGCTCGATAATCTTGTCAACGTCTTGGATAGCAGCCGTGAGGTTCGCGCCTCTCATCCGTGCCAGTTCATTCTGCAGCGGACCAAATGGCGAGACAATGTCATCGTTGGAGCCAGCCATGGTCGCTGGCAGGAGTGCTTTGGCAGTGAAGCAATGCGGGACTATAGAATGAAATCGATCATAGAGCTCAAAAGAAAGCTATCTGGGAGCGAGTGAGAAAGAAAAAACAATTCTGCCCTGCGGATGGGCTCTCCAAGAAGTTGTTAGGCGTAGGTATAAGTTGGATGAAGCGAGGTTGGAGGTTGTCATCCGAGTAGTGCTGCTACCGCCGTAGTCTTATCGATAAGTCGGAACGCAGGCGGTAGCGCCTCTGCACAGAGAGGCACCTACTAGGCACTGAATGGCTGCTACGGCCATTACTACCTATTGAACGCAATTACTGGCGCCTCATTACCTACATATACAGAACCTAACACATAATTCGAAACGCATTGCTGCTGTAGGTCTTAAACTCGTGATTGCCACTTTAGACAATACATATTCACAAACATATCTACCTATACAAGTTATACTGGACATTGCCTCCTTTCATAGATTCCTGGGTATAAACGCTGTGAAGCCGAAATGACGGCTGCGGAGCCCTGCCTGTTCAAATACTGTACACAGCGGTGATTCAGAGGCCTCACTAAGGCGAGCCCCGTTAAGGAGCAGATTTGCCCCGCCCTGGGCCAAGGCCAAGCTTTTGGCTACTCCCCGAGTAGCTGCAGGTTCAAGATGCAGCGCACACTTTGTATGGAGCAGTGGCCAATAGTGCGCTGCTACCGCCTCACTATTCGACTCCATTACATCACATGCCGGCACCACCAGCACTAAGCCACAGTGACCGAGTGCAGCAGCACAGGCGCCAAAGCCAAAATTCCAGGATCGCCATTGTCCCAGATCCCGGCTCTCTGGCCTTCAAAGATGCTCCTTGATTAGCCCGACCCGGCCTTTCACGCCTCCAGGGGCTGGCGAACTCCACAATGTCCTTAATGCCGTCCTTCTCCCAGGACGGGAGAGTCTACCGAGACGACGACTCTTCCGGACTGTCGAGGCTGGACCGTCGCACCACCACTCGATCTACTCATCCGGATGGGAACTACCTGACGCCCACGGAGACGCAGATGATTGATTCGGCTTCGTATCGCGCCGCAGGGCCATCGGGATCCCGCGCTGGACTGCCACAGAGACACCTCGTCTTTCCGGATCCCATCGCCTTCAAGTAGGTTTAACCTTGGAGATCGGCGAGAGAGGCCAGGGCCATGGCAGTATAGCCGCTAACTTCTTCTTCTTCTCCCTCTAATCTAGGTATCTCGAGACCGATCCGTGTGTCGAAGTGGTTCAACGACAAAGCGTCCTTCGCGGCTACGACCTGTACATTGTCGAGCAGTGGGCATGCTCAAGGCAACCACCGACTCTTGTTATTGCGACCTATACCGGCGACGAGAAGGATTCCATCGTGGTTGGGGTGTTGGCGGTATCAACAGACGAGAGCCAGTGGTCCGAACAGGTTCGACTATATCTGAAAAAGACGGAGCAAAACCATGCGCGACCCAAGAATACCGAGCTTGGGGAGCTCATGATTACAAACCTCAGCAATTTTCCATCGTCGCTCACGGTCATCGCTGTGCCCGACGGAGATTTACGGAAGTACCGACACCTTTTCGTTGTGAACGAGGACTTGAAACGGCTAGGATGCTCTGGACGGTCTGGCTTGACACTCACAGAACCTACCGAGGCGGCCCAGAGCAAGTTTCAGCAGCTCTATAGGATTAGTGACCGCGTTCCCTTCAACCAGGCGGTCACCGAACTTATCAAACTTTGCCAGGTTGCATTATTCATGTTTGACAAGTTGGAACAGCCTTACATTGATGGCCTGCTATGCGATGTTACGGAGAGGGCCATTAACAACTGGTGGACGGATCTTGGAGCTGAGCATTACAACTATGAACCGACCGATGGGATTCTAGGGCCGTCGACCGTTGCGGCCCTACTAGGAATGCTATTAGGAGCGAGAAACCGACTGCACTGGCAAGGTGCCCCCGTCTCAAAGGATGTTTTCGACCTCGAAAGCACCAAGCGTGGCATCTCCTACTTTCAGAAAGCACAAAAACTGGACAAGACACGGCGACTAGATCAGCAGACGCTCTTTAAACTACATACAGCAACTACAAAAGCGGCAGTCAAGGAAGACTGGGGCGTGCAAAAAGCTATCAAATCGACAGTGACGGAAATTGGAGGCAAAAGGGGAGAAATTGTTATGGATATGGTATCCGGCAAAGACAAGGCTGGTCTTGCAGACATCGAAACCGTGGATATTGAAAAATTTGCCAGCTTGGTGTATGGTGAGAGGCCGAAATGGCTTTGGCATGGCAAGCCGCGCCGAACTCCCCTCGAGCAGCATGACCACGACCACGACGTGGGTTTATCTCCATCAAAGACCAACACAAACAACCCAGTTGATAAACGAGCCCACTCCCTACCAGTGGAGGAGGAGCTTGGGATGAAGCAGAAGGATGATTTTCTCTCCCCTGATGCCGGCATGGCCCTTCGACCAACAGTTAGTATGCTGGAGGGCATTGGGGAAAAGGACGGGCTGCATAAGACTGTGTTCAAGAGCGTTGCTGGAAAGATGAGCGACGCTAGATCAGGTTTTGGACGTCTCAAGGATGGTGTCAGGGGAAGAGGCCACGGAACCCGTCTATCAATATCAACAAAAGAAGAAGTCTTGGAAAATGGAAATGGCTCTGCCAATGCGCTACAGAGTTTCAGCATACCTCCGAGCCCTGCCGCCGTAGTGAGCCGAGCATTTACGTGGAAGACAAAGCCGGAAGAATATCTCAGTGCTATTAAAAGGGGAGATCCAGACGTCCTACCTGGACTTATGGCAGAATCCGCACCTTCGTCAACAGTAGATCTCAAAGCCGCAAGGCTTCTCGAATATGAACGAAAGCCAAGAGAGTCGGACAGATCGTTAGAAATTCTTGGCCCAGATATGCACGGGAGAGCCCCATCTGCTGTGCCATCAACTACCAACGAAAGCGACATTGAAGTCATCTGCCCGGGCATCAGGAATAGAACCGACTTCCACCAGCTGGCCCTGTCAAGGCGTCATAGCTGTGGTGACTTTGCAGAGCTACATTCGAAACGGGTCCTCAATGAGAACAGATGGGCACGCCGGATGTCATTTGGCGACGCTGAGGAAGCCGTACTATCATGGGACGAAATCATTGATATTATGGACGAAACAGATGATGAGGAGGCCGAGGCCAGAGCAGTAAGCGCTCGCCACCTCGCTCAGCATATCGATAGGATTGTATATGGTATTGAGCCATGGATCAAGGAAAAGATCAAGCTCGTGCATCTACTTGACGAGAAATATGGCAAGGACAAGGCCGAGATACAAAATCTGCATCATCATCTGAGCGAGATCTATCATCGGGTCAAATACAGCTCCGACGAATTGCTGGCAGAAGAGCGTGCCAGCCTGACGGAGAGTGTCAAGGAGATTGAAATTCTTGTGGCACGCCTCGACTACGAAATCAATGCACTGGTGCAAAAAATCAATGATGTTGAAGACGGCATCAAAAACTTTGAGAGGCAAGTCGAGGACGTTGAGAGACGAGCCGACGAGCTAAGAAAACAGCTTGAGACAGAGAGCTGGCTGCATTGGTTTGTGAGAACTTTGACCGGTGTGGGCACTGGCCCCAATATTACTCGTAATATCTGATGATATTGGGAGCTTGCATTCTTTGGAGTTTAACCCCTTTGTTGCTTATTATTACTTATTTCCCTCTTTTCTTCATTTTAATCAGCATTTACTGAAGGATGGGGCTGGAGTTGGATATTGATGCATTCAAACGGGATTCGTGGACAATTGGCGTTTTATTTCTTTGCTCCTCTTTCGATTTCTTTTTTACTTTTTTTTTCTTTTCTTTTTCATTTACTGCCTTTCTTGCAAGAAGATAGATACCATTTCGTAGAGGAGATGTTCAGTCATCACAATGACGATGCTGCGCCTAGACAGCACCCAGTGTACTCTTTTGAATAGCTTTATACATTTGACATGATATATGTGTATATCCTGCGATCCCATAATACCATAATATCAAAGTCCCATTTTCAAAACATTTGCCGCCGCCGCATATTATTTCCAGACAACTTTCTCTCTCATATTTATATTCGTACACATGCATGACATCCAACATTTCAGGCCAAGAGAAACAAGAGGGGAGGACAATGCCATGAAAAGAAAAAGAAATATGCAACTCCTTTTTTCTCCTAATATGCTCTATGGCTTTTTTTTTTTATGTATTGGCTTTTCTTTTTCATCTTCTTCCTCTAAAACAGTCCTCCGGGACCGCCCTGAGGTCCTCCACCCATGGCCTGGCCCTGCTGCTGCATGATCTCGCTGATCTTCATGGAGGTATCGAGGAACTTCGCGGTGCAGCGGTCGAGGCAGACGGACTCGCCCTTGTTGAGCTCGCCCTCGCGGTAGTCGGAAGGAACGCATTTCTTCTGGCACGCCTTTTGCAGGCTATTTTTTTCCGGAATCAGCATTACGTAGCTAAGGTGATGTAGTACTCCCCTTTCAGATAGAGGGTAAATTCTCAAAGAAGTAGATGGGTTAGGACGAAGAGTTTTTTCGAAACTCACCGGTTGTAAGTATCAGCCATCATGCGCATCTCGCCCTCGACAGCAGCAATCTTCTGCTCTGACGTAGGCTGGGGACGACCGATTCCGAGGAAAGACATTGTGTTTTCGTTGAACGATTTGTTGAGATGAGGGTTTAGAAGAAGGGATGGAAATCAAAGAAGAGTTTTCAAAGATTTAAAAGTTGCCCCTCGGTTCTTGTCGCTGAGATTGGAAAATGGAGGTTTTTTTCGTTTTGATGTCGTCACAGGGCTGCGGCTTTGGAGATGCGATTTTGAATTGGGGACTTGAGAGAGGAGCAAAATTTCCATTCCCGGCAGGTTTGCTTACATAATGTGTTTATCGATAAGGTGGCTTCTTTACCTTGAGTTGAGAGTTGCGAAAACTCCCGGTCATGATGCTGTCTGCTTAAACCATGCGTGTCTTTTCATGTGAGATGGGTCATCTAGTAACTCTTCTCATTACAGTGAATTAAGATGTGCGATTTTACGCATCATACCCTCAGCACTATTGTAGGGCCAACTTTCACCGCTTCTGCCCGCTATATAAGACGCCAACGCACAGCGATGCGATGAGGTGACGGGCCTAATTTAAAATGGCTGCGGCAGCGCGCACTCAAAAAGCTGGTGGGGTGTTGGGGGAAGCGGAAGAAACCATAAGAAAGAAGGAAAGAACAAAAAATGCCCGCTGTTCCGGTTTAGCTTGCCGAGATTTACTCCATCAGATTATTGTTACTGTGTCTTAGCATAAGCGTTTGGTATAACTATTTGTAAACTCGGAGAGCTTGCATCGGTTGGGCATGGCGTGAGTACTTGGACAAGCCACTCTGGAGGCAGCAATTCAAAAGTATCGAATCAATATGGATGAGCTCTTTTTGAATAGACGAACGAATAGGCGGGTGAGATCGGGGGGAATTGAGTCTATAGGCTGGGCTGGGCTTGGCGTGGGCTTGGTTGCATTTTCCAACTGCAGCTGGCCGTTCGGAGCCTTGACTCATCCGTGCCAATTATCCCATCGCCGGAGCAGTCAATGATGGATGCTTGCAGTGTATGGAACAAGTATTAGCCGCCAAAATGTCTGGCATGCCCCCCCTTGTTTTTCCCCAACCAGATGTAAGATGTGTAATTAATGGCTGAGTGCAGAGTGCCTGGGGTCCTCACGCCATCGATTGTGTAATAGGCGTACGACGGTTACGACAGGAACGTGCCACAACGGGCAGCGGGAACAAGAGGCGCTGGCCAGAGTTTAGGTTTTGTGTCAGTCGCCAGCCAGTCACGTTGTGCCGTGCCTGTGTGTAAATGTTTAGACACTACAGCACATACAGTACGATACGAGCTTGTAATAAGAGCAAGCCACATCGGGGAGACGGAAGAGATTGCAGCAGCGGGATGCTTTGTGGAGGTGGGTAAGCTTTGAGCAGACGTGCCAGCCTTATCTTGATATTGGAGCACTGCTGCTGCGACTATCGCGACAAGGTGGTGTGTGTGCGAGTTGCATGACAAGCTGATGCCTAGTTCCAGACCGATGCGGCTGCAACCCCATCGCGATGGTCGTGGCGATGAGCTGGAGCTTGGGTGCGAGATAGCAGACTCGGTGAACAGGTTTTGTGCACGGCCACATGCGTCTGAACGGAGGAGCACGCAGTAGTGGCCATGACAGGTCGCATTGTGTGCTCCATGGTGGCGCCGGGCTCGCTCGCACTCAAAGCAAAAGCGTATATGGAGTCTTGGACTGGAGCTCGGGCGGTCAAATCATGGCATGATTCGGCATGTTGTGACAGAAGCTTTCTTCTTTGGCGCACCCGCGATAATACAATAGGGTGGTTGTATATAAGTAATAGGCTAGATAACTTAATAAGAGGGGGGAAGCTAGATGAAACCTTGCAGAATAGGAGAGAAGAAAGGAACAGAAAAAAAGAAAAGGCATTGTATTCATCCCATCAATGACAGGACTGAGCTCCCTACCTTGCCAGCTCCGTAGCCGAGACAGCGACCATGGGCCCGCATGTGCATCGCCGCACCGGCTCTCTGCGGCCAATGGATCTCACGCCTGGGCTGAGGCTTGGCCGGCCATTTGTTGGCGGCGGTTGATGGATCACAGTCGTTTGGACCAGGCGAATCTGGCATGGCGAGAGCGCACGAGAGCGCACCTCGGAAACCCATTGAGAGCTGCGCGTGTTGCTCCCCGGAGCTGGCAGCATGTGCAGCCACATGTAGATGCCAAATCCGAGGCATCGTGCCTCGTACTCGGAGTACTAACCTAGTACATGGCAATAGTACACATGTCAACGGTGTTATTGGCATTGCAGATTGCAGTCCCCAGCAAATATCAGTGCCAGCTATGCCACAATAGCTGGGCACGGACGGAGCAACCGGCATGAAGAAGCTCATATCGGGCTGCGACGAAACGGCCCGGTTTAAGCAGAGGCCAGCTCAGCGGCCAGCTTCGCTCTGCTAGCAGCAACTGCTCCCTACCGCGACCTGCCTTTGCTTATTACTGACCTGCTAGACAAGCATTCGACGGTGCTATACTCGCTGCTACCAGGTACTAGGATCATTGGACCTTGGTCGCGCACGCAGTCTTTGCCGGCTTGGGGAGGAGTGCGCACAGTAAGTCCAAGTAGCAGCAGCACCGGTGCTTTTGGCAGATGGAACCTCGCCTGAGTGATTTTATCCGGGCGGCTGAGCTGAGCCCATTGCCTGTAGAGCCGTGACTGCAAGTAGCAGTAGGTATAGAGCAATTGATCTTGGGAGTAGCAGTAGTACAGCACATAACGAGCCAAAGAAGACGGACAGCGGCATGATAAGCTGCTCTAGTCAACAGCAAGCGCACACCGACTGTTCATTTACAGCAGAGGCTCCCTCGTCCATCTGCCGGCAATTGGGAGCAAACACCTACTGTAATACGGAGGAGACTTATCCAAGACTTGCCAAGTCGTACTCCGAGGCTCGCTTGTTGCTGCCACTACGGAGTGATAGTGCCTGCATGCTTAAGTGGCATCTTAGCTGTACCCATCATTTCCGTACCTGCCAGGTATCCAGAGTCGGGTAGCATCAGCGTCGGCATCAGCATCACGGCCGGTGCGAATCCTCTCTCTCTGACAACATGCTGTACATGCTTTAGACCAGGCCCGGTAATTAACTGTAGCTGGTGCGGCTGCCACGTTGCTTGTGCCTGCGCTGAGCTGAGCTGTCCTTTCCGTGCTTTTTGCAGGTGTCAAGGAACAAGCACAGCAGCACTATCGAGGTACGCGACAAGCATGATTACTCGACTCTCCATATTTTACTGTTTCGACCGGGGCTCCAAGATCCAAGCAGCGCCTGGATACCGGCCCGGGACATGGCGGTTGACGGCCGCTGCGTGCATGGAGCAGGTACCGCCGGAGTAATCTGCCAATGGACCTAGCAATGCTTCTGATACACAAGCTGCAGTAGCCATCGTATCGTGCCTTCCCCTCTGCTGTGTGCACCCCCTCCATTGAGCTGGGCAGCTCTTGCCTGCTGTGACTTTTGCGAGCTTCCCCACCAAAAAAATTCCAAAGGAAGGAGGGACGCAGGTTGGTAGGGGGAAAAAAGGAAAGTAAGAGGAAAAAAAAAAAAGTACACACCACCCCTCCTTTTTGCGCGCGCTGTTCTCTGCGCTGCTCACTGTGGGAGAAGGAAGGAAAAAAAAAAAAAAAAAAAAAAACTGAAAAAACCAATTCCTATCTGGGCTTATCCTGCCACCCCAAAACAAAAAATTCACACCACCCCAGAATCTGCTCCTCCTATTGCTCTCTGCATCCTGTCTGCCTAACCTCCTCTTTTATTCTTCTACTTCTTCTCTCTTCCTTCCCCTCTCTCTTCTTCTTTTTTTCCCTTCCTCACCATGTCCTCCACCAACCAATCCTCCACCACCAGCCAAGATGCCTCGGGACGACAGCCCTCCGCCGCCTCCTCCACCGCCGCCCAACTCGCCAGTGCACAGATAAGCCTGCGCAAGACGCTGCGCGAGTTCCCCGACTTCCCCATCCCGGGAATTGACTTTGTCGATATCATGCCCCTCTTCGCCAACCCCGAGGCCCATGCCACGCTGCTGTCCGCCCTCGAGCTGCAAATTGCCGAGTCCTTTGGCGCCAACAAGCCCGACGTCATTGTTGGCCTTGATGCCCGCGGCTTCCTCTTCGGCCCCGGCCTGGCTCTGCGCCTCGGCATTCCTTTTGCCGCTGTGAGGAAGCAGGGCAAGCTGCCAGGCCCCTGCGTCACGGCCGAGTACATCAAGGAGTACGGCAAGGATCTGTTCCAGATGCAGGCAGATGCCATCAGCGAGGGCCAGAAGGTGCTGGTTGTTGACGATATCATTGCGACGGGTATGTCCACAGCTCCTCTTTGAGGCCCCCCATTGGACCTCTTCATGTGCAGGAATAAAGCGAGAATCATGTCCAGAATGCTAACTTTGTGTACAGGCGGCTCGGCGGCGGCGGCGGCAGATCTTGTTCACCAGCTCAAGGGCCAGGTTGTTGGCTACCTTTTCATTCTGGAGATTCCCGGCCTCAACGGTCGCGATAAGCTCAGCGCTCCTACTACTATTCTCCTTGAGAACCCTTAATTTTGACGAGAAAGGGCTCCATCTCCTCTTCTCTCGATAAGCAGCGCCATTCTAGCAAAAAGATGACACGCCTGGCATCAATTTCTCTACACCATCAGCCCTAGTCGACTGGGAAATGTCACTTGGATGTTCCATTACCACTTCTCAGCGCCAAAAATCGACTCGAGGCGCGAAAGACGAACGAAACTTGTTCTGCTGGGGCTGTAAGCTTGGCTATTGTGGTCCTCCTTATCGACACACTTTTCATATATATATCAAAAGTTGTTTGCTTGGATCATTTCTTTGGACTTTGGGTATCTTTCCTAAAATCTTTGTTTTACAAATCTTTTTTTTTTTCTTTCACTTTTTTTTTCACTTTTTTTTTCTTAAACGGGGATTTTCTTTTTCGCATATTACAATTCAAATAACCAATAGACTATGGAAAGCGTTTTCTTCTCTGATTCGGAATGGGAAGTGGGTGCCGTGCTCTCTCTGTCTTGTCTGCTTCATGACAAACTCTCAACTCTACTTTTACGTTTTACATAATACGATATAGACCACATTACACTATGAAGAAACTGGGAGGAGTAGATGAGGACGAAAAAGGGGATACGATTTTCAACAACGAAGAGCACGCGGTGGAGGAGCAAAGACAAAAAGAACTATTTGGATTGGATATCTGTTTGGGGTCATGATGGGAGGTATTGTTGATCATTTACGGCCTAAAAGGAATTATTCTATTGCAATGAAAATCATCTCTGTTTTCTTGAGATTTCCTAAGCTCGCTTGAGCTTCTCTGACAACCCGGTTCCATTGATGTCCAAGATGCTTATTCAGGAACCATTTACCGCAGCAGTGTTATCCTGGGACCGATACAATCGTGGTTAATGCTATCATAATGAATAACTATCACGCCAAAGCTCTTGGTCACTTGGTAGTGTCCTACCATGATAATCATATTCCATAAGTAGAAGGAAGGTAGCACTGGTATTCACAGGGACTGATGCTTTTTAAATGAACTTCTTGCAGACACGAAATCCCTCTAAACATTCATTTGACAGCTCTTATTTTCTCGAGAAAGTGAAAAGTAAAAGTGAAAAAAAAAAAAAAAAAAAAAAAAAAAAAAAACAAAAAAAAACCTCAAGAGGGGAAAATTCACCAATCTTCTTTTGTAACCTCATGCTGGCTGTATCTATCCTAAACAAGCGCTGTATATCTATGCTGCGTGATATGTAGACGTGCTATATGTATGTATATGGTATGTATGCTACTATATGCGTATTTATATGAAAAAAAAAAAATATTCCTCTCTAGCCACATCCTCAACTCCCTTTTCCACAAAGGAAACTACAAGACAACGGCATTCTCCACAATGAGTCCCTGGCTCTCAACACGGTACTTTCTCCTCATACCAACCCTCGTTGCCTGCCTAAAGAGCTCATAGTCGCCTCTTGAAGCTCCCATGAGGACCATGGGAATACCATGTAAGCGCTTCATGCCCTTTGGTGTCACCTGCTCTGTATCTAGCAGCGGCCTGGGCATATTGCCTCTGTCGTCATCGTCATCGTCATCATTGTCATCGGCAGATGGCTCATCGAGAACAATGACTAGCTGGAGCGATCTCTCGCTGGGGTAGAAGCTAGGGATATTGTCCAGCTTCCGGCTGAAGGAGCACCCTCCGCGCAGCATGACAATGACTTGGTGTTCTCGAGCCGCAGACGCGGGGAGCGGCCCGTCGCAGGCTTGATCTGCGAGGTAGACGGTTGACCAGGGAAAGTTGGCAGCCGGGTCTCTGTACTTGTAGAACGGGTTGCCGGTGATGGGAGTATCCAAGATGGCCGGGACGGGGTATGAGCCGGGACCGGTGGACGTGTAGGCGTCCCAGCTATATATCATGGCGCCGCTCTTGCTTGGGTCGGGCTCTGGTAATGCGGTGTAAACTGGTTCAAAGACAGAAGACACAGCGCGGAGTATTGATTGAAATAACGAGTCGGAACCCAGCGATCCGGCGTTGAGTGTGTCATTGTCCATTATGTCATCGCTCTCAGCCGCTATGAGATCCTCGGAAACCACGAGCGTGCTGTTATTATTCTGCTGCTCTGGGTTGTCTACCAGTAGCTCAATCTCCACAGAGTCCCTCCGTCTCTTGCACGAAAAAGCCTCGTCCTTGAGATGTCTGACGTGTTCGGCATGGAAGAAGACTGTCTCGTATCGGCCTAGTTGGGTATTGCCGATATGCGTGATCCTCCACCTATAGGTGCTCGAGTCAGAGTCAAACACCTGCTCGAGCTGAAGTCGCAGCCCCTCCAACACGGTGATTGTCGGCCCCAGATGGCTCTGCCATGACAATTGTGCGCCAAAGTGCGCCCCCATGCCGCTGGTAAGATCGCTGACCGGAAACTCGATCAAGGATATAACTCGCTCGGGAGGAGCAACGCAAGTGCCGTTCTCGGGGAGCATAGTCGGCGGAAGAGTCCATGGGAAAAGGGTGTGGTTGGAAAGCGCCCTATACCTCATCACCCGGCCCTTCTTTCTGTCATTAATTTCAACCAATTCTATAGGCCCATGTACATTTGGAGTCCGATATAAATCTGTGAAGCGGGAAACAGAAAATAAGTCTGGCCTGGCAGCGGTGGCCGAGCCGCTTAGTCGATTTGTCAAAGGCGGCGGAGGTGCAGGGCATGAGTTTGTGAAGCTTTCATCGTAATAGCTATAGACCGCAACGTCCTTGCCCTTCTTTATGCTGCGATTGCTCTCCCGATTAGCGACCCCTCTCTTACTCTTTGGTATGACGAGCGGATGGCCTTCTGTGGTGAAGACATAGGGGGCATCAAAGTTATTGAGCGGATGGTCTGGGTCGAATAGCAAGTACATGTATTTAGCTGTTTCTCCCAAGAAGAAGCTCTCCATGCGATCTTGCTTCTCTCCCGTCTGGACATCCTGGAGCCCAGCCCAGCCACATTCGGCAAAGCATCGACGCCGAATGTCCCGGAGAACCATCTCGCCGACGTGCAGATACCAGGGGTCTCGAGTAGCACGATAGATGTGATATGTGGACTCGATGAACTCGGGCCTGCCTGGCCACCAGCCGATGCCCGCCTCGACGTTGCCCTCGCGGACGGACCAGCGTTCCGGCAGCGCAGAGTAACGGGTCCAAAGAGCTGTATAGACCAGATTCGCTTCAATGGCCTCTTCCACTTCGCCTGCCAAGGCCAGAAGCCCTGGATAGAATGCACCAAGACTATCAATCCACATGGCGTACGGCTGGCCAGTGGCGCGGTTGTTGTTTGAGTAGTACGGGAAATGGCTCCGATCCGTATACAGGTACCGCTTGACCGACGCGTGAGCTTGATGCCATGCTTCAAGGAAGGCGTCCGATGTCTGCATCGCGGCTGGTAAAGGAGGGTGTATAGAGTTTGGATCTAACCAGCTGGTCGTGCTCTGTCGGTGCGAGGCAGAGGCATTAGGCATCCCAAGGCCCGAGAGAAGGATATGGCTTTTGAGCGCGTACTCGAAGAAGCTGTCCATGCCTGCGCCGATGCCTGCATGGGGACCGATCCATAGCCCTCGTTCCGCATCAATTCCATTGCCAATCAGGCCGATTTCACTCCTGCGATGCCACACCTCCCAGAAAGCCCGCTTAGCGGATTGCTCGAACCTCGGATCTCCCGTCAGTCTGCTCAGGACAGTAAACTCAAGGACGAGGCTTCCAGCTCCAGCACTGCAGGTCTCAGTGATCTCTGGATTGCTACTTTGCTCCTCCAGGACCAAGTGTTGGTGGAGGGGAGAGTTGACATAAAAGGGGATGCCACTGCGGAGATTGACTCGAGGATATGGAATGCCAGTTGAGGTATAGAATGCAGGAAGCAGTCTTTCAGAAAGGTCCAGAGCAAGCCTCAGTAGCTGGCCATCATACTTGAACCCACTCGGCCACGGAATAGGGGCCAACTCCAGAGGATCATCGCCCGCGACCCCCTCTGGCTTGGGTACGTATCCAGTGATGGGCAACTCCCCAGTAGCAAATAAGTGCGCACTCAACAGACCTCCCACGCCGCGGATGACCGTCTCGAACACTTGGACTTTGCTATCCAGATCGAAGCCCCTGGCACGTATCCCAGCACCGGATGGTCCCGATCTTCCATCTCCATAGTGTCGTACAAACTCGGCCACCCCATCTTGGAAGTCGCTCAGAGCTTGCGGTCCGGTATAAGATCCGGTCTGCGGCCCTCCAGCCAGGATCGCAAGGGTAGACAGGCTGTCTATGAGAGTCAAGGAGTAGTTGCCAAGCGCATCGTTCAAGTTGATGCGCCCAGGATTATGAGGATCCCGTGTCAAGGGAGTACATGTTATTGGGCGAAGCTAAAAAACATCGGAACCGTAGCGGTCAGCCTTCTATCTACCTGTATCTTTGATATGTCTAACACGGTACACAAAACCCACCTCATCTTCAGGAAACGCATGCTTCATATAGTTGCTATACCCATGATAGAACATGTCTACCGTGTCCTGCCGCAGCTGAGCCAGATAGTCCGAGCGCATGGCCCCTACCGGCCGCAGCAGTGAGTGGCCTAGCCATAGCAATGCGACCACCAATAGCATCATGTTGGGCCCGGAGCCGCAGCGCTTCGAAGAGTGTTGATATCGCAGCAAAGGCGTTCGGGGAGGCTGGCACGTGCCGGGCGACTCATTGGGGGGAAAGGCGAGGGATCGAAGGCGGCGGCAGCATAGAGCTGCTTGCAAGCGAGAGGCCCTTTGCGAGCTCTCTACTATCGGATCTGGCTCTATAGCAGACGTCAAATGCGAACGGCGCTGTCACCGACTCTGGCCGTTGAATCGCCACATCGCCATGTGCTGTCTGTCATCTTTTTGTGGCGCCACGGCGATCGCACGTCAGGAACGAAATGTGTGGCTGGTGTGTCAAAAACGTGGCTGGTGATCCGATGCATTTGTCCTAGCGTCTCGCACTCTACCCAATGAGAAGCCCGCAAATGACTGCTTACCAATCCTCCGCATCTTCCGCGAGTATGCTTCTTTTCCGGCTCTATTAACCTCCAGCCTAGGAACAGCTGGACTAATCATTCTTGTTTACCCGGCAGGCTGTTCAACAGTATCAGTACAGAACAAAGTGATGAGTCATTTGAGCAGGGCTTTACTGACAAAGAACGTCAATATTGACTCATCTGCCAGAGATCCAGGATTGCACCCGGCTCGTACGACTCGTGCGACTCGTGCGACTCGTGCTCTCGCCTCTAGGTTTGTATTTTTGTTGCCATTCGGGTGATTCAATGCAGGTTGACAGCCTTTTGTCTGTGCTTCGTACTATCGCACAGTGAGCTGGGCCTGTGATTGGTGACAATACGAGCTCTTTGATCGATGGCGCACAATCTGACAGCTGCAGCCTCGTTCGTGTACCTATGATTGGCTGGAATACGATGAGACAAGCAGCTGGGCAAATACACCCAAACTAAGGAACATAGCCCCCAAATACACATTGCAATCCGGGCTAAATATAATCAACATCGTCAATAGGCTCGGCTGACGAGAGATGTTTCTGCAGGACAAAGTCAAGCACGCTAATAACCGACAAGGATCAGATTGTGTGTTCTCAAAAGAAAGCCTTTTGTCGGACAAGGTCGAAAAGGCAGACAGCTACAAGTGTAGGTTGTGTCACGGCAGCGGTGCTATGCTACCCCGTGGTACATTGACGTTTATTTCAACGGCAGCGTCACTGGACGGCATCTGAGTCTGTGGAAGAGTTCTGAAAGCCTCATCAGTTTTGGTAGCAATGGGAAGGCGTTTCTTCCATCGACTACTTCGTACAAGTTTATGACCAGCTGATTCCCATCAGATGATCCTCGATCCTTCGGTGCCTTTGATGGCTAGTCTACTTTACTATATCAACAAATAGTAGGACCAAGAAACCGGCGGGGGTATCTCATAACTAAACGAAATATGCCACAAATTCCAAATACTACTTTGAAGTCGGCCATGCGACTCGCCTGTACTAGGTGCTGCCTAATCAATGCATCGCTGAGATTGCGAGAGCAGCAAGAGCAGGGATCGAAGGCTTGCTTCGTAAGAGACACAGATATACTTCGAATAGAGGTGACGTTGGTGTTACGGGCGTGCCTTTAACTAGCAGCAACATGAATCCTGACATGAGCATGTATTCCACTCCTTCAACGACCTGGCTAGTGAGTCAAGCTTGCTCTAGTTCGAGAGTCACTGCCATGCCGCAATTGGGTTGTTTGAAGCAGGACCTGCAAGACTTCGCCTCGAATTGGCACAGAAACGAGTGCCGAGACGTCCAACAGACGCAGGATATCAAGTTTTGCTCAAGCGCACCGGCGGTAATACGAGCCCTGTCGGCGATTGTTTCTCGAAACCGCCCGCTTGGATGGGCATGCCTTTTCTCGCGGACCCCTGGCCACGAACTGCTCCTAATGACAAACCCCGTTATCTCCCCGGTAGGATCTCCACCACGCTAGGAAATAGACAAAAGCAGCACAGCGCGAGCCACGCGGAGTCCGGCCAGGTATTATCCACCAGGTATCTGGGATGTTCGCAGTGGATGGATGCTTGAGTTCGTCCGAGAAAAAAACGCCACTTTTCAAATAGATGCGGGTTACGGAGTAGGAGCAAAGAGAACCCTTGCAAGTCAGCAATGATTTGCTAGAATTAAGGTACTGTAACAATCTCACACGCCCTGTTCCACAACCTAGAACAATTGGCTGAGTTTCACAAATAGGCGGTAGGGCTTTCTACTTCATAAGAAACACCCTTGCGAATCGGGCCACGACAATGGGCCTGGCGATGAGCAACACTGCCATCTGAGATCCCTCCTCAAAGCCTTCTCTTTCAGCCTTTCAGTTTGCCTTTCGAGTCCATCTATTTGAGTGCTTACGAGAGGTGGATAGAGAGAGGGAAGTAATATGGTAGTAAGTAAATCTCAAAAGACATTGGCTAACTAACAGTGGGTTCCCTGCGTGGACTCTCTACCTCACCCAATACGAGCTGCGCGTCTCATACACCTAATTCCGCACCAATTCTTTTTGCACATGTATGTTGTGAATCTGAAATAAATGCTAATACATCGTACATACAAAAAAAAAACTATTTAGCCCTTGACACTATCCAAAAAGGTCTCGGAAGCGTCTATCCCGGACGTTGATCCAAAAAGAATATCGGAACACCATACAGCAGACAAGGCAAACGCTACTAAACTACTGCCGGATCGCTCTCCCCGCCAGGCTAAATGAACAGCAACTCGGAAAGCTTCTGCGCATCTTCTGAACCGTACTAGCAGGCTAGGGAGGAAGAGAATCTCGTGCTAGCATCTCACACTAAAAAAAACCAGAGCAAGTTGTCGCGCCATCTTGTCTCCTCTTTCTTGCGGCGAGGCCCAATCTAGGAACTACGAGAGATCAGCAGCTATTCCCCCACAGTTTGTGGGCTAAGTGATCCGTACTGTAGGTACTTGTCTGCTGTGCTGGCTAGCTCGCTGCTGTCAGGGGAGCGGAGGATCCTCGTTCAATCTCAACGGGCGCCAAGCTAGAGGGGAAAGGGGGGGCGTTTGGAAGGCTGATCATGGACTGGGCTCCTCCACTTGTGGCCGAGCTGCGCAGGGCTCCATGCAGCGATGGTGTCGCTACTGCTGTTAGGGGCAGTAGCCTTCTCTCCCCTACTTGAGGCTAGGCGATATCCAAGCATCGTGGCATTGGTATGGCATGGCGAGACCAGTCCAGTCCTTGCCTGCAGCACGAGGCGCCAGTTTTTTCGTCTTCCGCGCGGAGCTTCATTCGCACAAGCGATCGGATGCCTGCTTGGCCCTGCCGAGGAGGGATGGATCTGTATCTGTACGTCGACCGATCGAGCATCAACGGACACGTTCCGTCCTCTGACGGATATGCTACTTGCTCTCGATTTTTTTCTTACTTGTACTACTTTGCCCACCCATGCTCTTCTTTTCCCCATCATCATCATCTGCCAGGGGTGGTACAAGTGTAAAGTATTTGCACTCCAAATACTCCGGAGATACCACCACTTGCTACTTGTACTTCCCTTCTGTCCGTGACAAGGACCCCCTTCCCCTTCTCCAGGCACACCTGTCCATCCATTGTGGCCTCAAAGACGAAGAGGTATTGGCGTGCCGTCTTTGGCAATCGCCGGCAGCAGTTTGATGTGGACTTGGCGAGGCGAACGATACATTGACAGAGGGGCGGCTCCAGATCACATGGTTGATGGGCCATGTAGGCGTCACCAAGGGGGGTGGAGAATAGGTAGCAGGAGAAGAGAGCACAAAATCTGGACAGGCGGCTGTGTGTGATTCAAACGAAAAAAAGATTGACATGTCCCACACCCCAGCCCAGGGCACAATCGTGTCACTTTTCCAAGGCACGCCCCTCACCCAGATATGGCTCTTTGGTCTTTTCTTTCTCTCTCTCTCTCTTTTCGCTTGGCAGGCGAGGACTAGATTTGGACACAAGCCGCATATGGCTTCCATCCCGTATGGCTGAAGGACAATTGGCGACCCGCAAAGTGGATCGTTTGCGGTGCTTCACATGTCTTGTATTGTGGTTGCTATTGTCAAGGCAGCCTTGATGATGTCCTGTAGGTACCAAGAAGCGATAAAAGGACATTCGGTGTATTGGAAAATAGGGCAGTGGCGAAAGGACAGGCGGTACAATTGAATGCCTCCGTTCTGCAGCTTCCAAAAAGCCCATCCCGGCCGCCGCTATTTGAAAAGATACGCGACAGCCGCGTTCACGAAAGCCTGCGAGTGCCAGCCGCTCAAAGGGTTTCTGCTCTGCACAAATCAAGCCCGGCGGGTGACAGACTTGTTTCCGCTCATGGCAGCCTTGACAGCCCTCCCCCGATTACGTAGTAGTGCTACGGGGTTTGTTGATCATCTTGTGGAGAAGAGAACCGTTTCCTCTCTACAGTTGTAGTATTTCATCCACTAATCATCGAGGTTTAGGTAACCCTCCACCCTCCCCCCTTTCCGTGTTCCTCCGTTGGCGACTGCTCGCGTTGTGTTCCATCCAGCGGCAGTTGCGAGCACATGGCTAGAAGAGCCATAGGGAATCGATCCCTTGCTCTTGTTAATTTACGAAACTCAAATTCAGCCTTCCCCTCGGCTGTAGTGAGCGCCTCTAGCTGCGCCGAATCCTGGCACGGCTTTCCAGCCCGGAAGATCACATACTTATAAACCTGGTACTCGTATATCCGGAACCATCTTAGCAGCATTCACATCCGCTAACAACTACTAACAGCAGTAGTAGTTCCGTAGGGCAATTGTGAGAGGCGACCACTTCTAGCCAAATCGGTTCCGGAACGCAGCGAGGCGACGGGTGATGTACAATAGCCTGGCGTCTAGGGCCCGCGAGACCCAGCGCTAGTGAAACGCGCAAAGGAGAGCCCTAAGATTCCAATCCGTGCAAGAAGATGCTTCTCAGCTACACTGTGAAGCTGTTTGAAATGCTGACGGTGAAGGCTGGAGTTTGCTGGACATGTCCCTCGTCTCAATTGGACTCCTGGTGCGAGTGCAGTTGCGTTTCGGCAAGTCTAGATCTTTCAATCATACAAGTAGCCATTTATTTGCTCACACAATGTCTTAGTGAGTGCTTGAGAAAAGTACTCACACTGAGAGGTACATCAAGAAGGGGGGGAGAAACAAGCTCAGCTCTAGGGAGGAGAAAAGGATGTAGCCACCACCGTCCCAACGCCTCAGAAAACGAGGCTGATGGAAAGGTACATGGCTAGCCCCTAAAAGAAGAAGCTATTCAGCTTCGTATTTGCTTCATTATTTCCTCGTCAAGGTTCATGATCGAAAGAAGAATGAGCACATGCATACGAACATCTGCACTAAAGGTGAAGAAACGCCTTGATCTCGACCATTCCACGTGGCTAGCTCAACAAGAACGAAGCCGCCACGAAGCCACTGTGAAGCTAAACTAGCTATTTTGACTTTCAACTCGACTCAAACGAACACCCTCGGCTTCTTTTAGTCGGCGTCTCTACTAAATCTCCTAAAGCCACGCCTCGAGACGCCGGTGAGATCCTTCTCCGCGTGATGAAGTGGCTAAGAGAGCCCTTTTGCAAGAATCTCTCTCACTTCTTCCACAGCCCAGCAGCACAACGCCGTCTCCACGTTTTCAACCTCCCCCCTTTTAGCGTGGGAAACCTGAGACACCCCGATCATCACGCTAAAAAGCGCCCAGAACGAGTACGGCTGCAAATCACCGCAGGGTTTTATTTTTTAAATTCGCATCTTCCATAGCGGAGCGGAGTGTTCGGAAGAAAAACCTGGAGACGGGGCCTCTCTCTCTACAGTAAAGGTTTTCCTCGTCTACTGCCTTACAAGGAAAGCAGCTCCAGGGCTCTCCATTGGATTCTCGGCTTCCACTTGCGTGCTTCCCCTAGTGCGAACTGCCTGCTCGAAGCGCTTCTGAGCCTCGGATCTACTACTAGCTGGTTGGATTCTCTTCTTTATTCCCATATTTCCGCGTGTCATTTCGCGTACCTTGCCCCGAATGGACGTGAAATCTTTCTCATTCTCTCCATAGCTGCTGTGGAGGAGAGCTCAATGGCGAACAATGCCCCCCCCCCCCCCAAAAAAAAACCACGCCCCCTTCCTCTTATTTTGAATGAACATACTCCATAAACACTTGAGATCGCTTCTGCCACATGTAACATTACATTTGGTGAATTGGTCTACCCCCTCAGCCTCGTGGAAACATTGTACGTACACATTTAGTCAAAAGAATTCGTGAGCCGACGCTCAATGGCATCTTTTCGTTTCGGCAACCGGCGATGACGCCCTCGTGGCTTGTCCCACCCTCAGTCACTAAGGCTCCACGTGGCATACTCAAGCTTGTATGTCGCCGAGATTGCGATATCTACTTGTTCCATTGACAGAAGAGCATAATACACATTGAAAGAAAAACAAGGGGAGGGGCGTCGAGCTATCACGGGCCTATACAGCAATTCAATTTCGTATTCTGTACAGATTTTTTTTTTTAAAGAAATATCCAGCGTTCAACTGGGGTAGTACAGCGAAATCTGAGACTCGGCACGGCACTTCTGTTCTCCCACACCTAGGAACTTACCTTACCGTACTACTAGTTCGAGGTAATACAGCAAGCCACCAACACCACAAAGCACGTTTTCGGTGATATGTTCGGGAAAATCGCCCCCAAATGTCGTAACACCTTGTTGAAGTTTCCCCTTCTTCTTCTTCTTCTATTCCTCGCTTTCACCGAGAATCTACAAGTAGCAACATCAGCTACTAGTCAACGCCGTGTAACCACCCTTTTTTTTTTCCCTCCCCCAAAAGGCACACGACTCGCGGCAAATTGTGGCTAATTATGCCAGCCCTCACAATTGAGGGCCAGGGCAGCTTTGGCTCGCCCCTACTTTAGCGGCCAGTAGTATAGTACAGTTGACTAGCAGTAGTAGCTGAAAACATCGAGAAACCCTACTAGCAGTAACTTGTTGGTCGTTGTCTCTTAGTTCCAAATGTTTGCTTAATTGCCCGATTTGGTCAATGGTCAGTGCTTGCTGTCCTTAGCCGTCATGGAATTGGATACTTTGGAGGCGATTCTCTCCAGCTAGGGTCTTTCCAAGTCCAATGTTTGCAGATCTGGATTCAAGAGTTTCTTTGCGTGACGATGGAGACATTGGCAGGCGGCGTGGTCAACCCATTGAAAGTCTGTCTACATCTACCCCCCCTTGCTCAAGTGCTAACAATGCAACAAGTGGATTGATGAAGCGGCCTCGGTTCCCCAGCCTATTAACCGGTGCATGCCATCGGGATGAATTCCATATTGTGCTACCTACTAGTAGTGCTATGGCAGCGATTATCAAACATCTCGGCAATTTTTCCATCCCCCTTGGGCAAAGTCTAGTGTGTAACTGTAACGACGCCTAGTCCTACAGAGTGCCACAACGATGCCCTAGTGTCATCAGCCCTTACTAGCCTCAGAACCATAGTTGTACTCTCGGCGAGCGCCGATTATAGTGGTGTTCTAAAGGCAGTAATATCAATGAAGACTTATTCATGACCACGATTCAATCCTATTCCAGCACTCCAAATAAAGTACTCAGCGAGAGTGAATTGTTTTGAACAAGTAAAGCATCCGTGTAGTAGGCATGAGAGGGCAATGTGATGTTCGAATTGCTCCGCTTCAGAATCAAGTGAGTTTTGTACGCGTACCTCCCTGGGCGCACAAATTCCGTGGTGTGTCATTCATTATACATGTACCCAGTACTTGAAAGCTCAAGTAATATGCATTGACAAGAGACAAAGGATCATGATAGGTGGTAGGTATGTTGCGTAGGTACACGACATATCACGACGAGTTATTTGGCGCTTGTCCTGTTGCAGCAAATACTGCCCTGTTCTATATGTAGTAAATAGGTATTGTTTGCTGCAACCGGACAAGCGCCGGATTATTGGGAATGGGCAGGGGGTTCTCCCAGTTGTCGCTAACTCAGCGAGATGAAGGTTCCGGGAGAATAACTCAATTCGTATAAGAAATTCCAAAGCTGAAGGATTGATCACTAATAGCAAGACGTCTGCGATGCCGAGCGAGGACCGTGCTATAGCGTTTGAGAGCCAGCCTTTCAGCCAGCCTTCCAGCCCGACTGGCTGAAATAAATGAAAGAATATAGCCTCACACTAAGATTAGCTGCTCACTCACCTCGCACGGCATCAGAGTTATTGACCGACAAGAAACAAAGGGGAAAAAAGAGCTTTCTTTCTCTTCCCGTGCAGTAGGTAGTTGGTGGTACAACGCTCCAGGTACCTAGTTGGTGGCACAAGCATAGAGTTTGGAGCATAGAAGCACAGCGGGCATGTAAGCTGTCGGTACCTTACTTGGCCAAGTTTATCTGCCTAATCGAGACTTGCACAGCAGAATAGGTGCACTAGCAGATCGAAAATAGATGGCGCCAGTAGATTCAGGCTCACCCACCTGTGTATCGACCCGGGAGGCCGTCCCACTCAGACAATCACGATGCTTCAAAGACAAATCGTCGTCAATGTGAAGTACTCGGCAGTTCGACACGCCGTTACTTGGACAGAGGTTTCCAGCTCAGGTGGGTAGTCCCCGTATGCCACTCGTTACAACGACAGGCATTCCAAATTGTCAGTAGCAGCGCCAAGGGCGGTGATGGAAGGGTATAGGTACTAATCCCAAACATCTTGGCTGCAGTGACATACCATTTGCACACGGGGTTTACCACAGCGCTGATGGCTGCTTTGAAATGTGATTGCTGCTTACCTGCTGCATGACTTATCAATATCTGAGCTCTGTCAATAGTAGGCATGGAAATAGGTACGCCAGTGCTGCCTACCTATTGGCCATTGGCAGCATGTGCTGTCTCTGCGCAAATCTCATCACGTCCATCGCACCATGCCTCCACCTAGCCTCGGCACCTCCTCACTGCCCGGGGTCACGCACACCCAAGCCCCCCAAATCAACTCCCGAACAGCTGCGGCATACACGGTCGGGAAGAGATGCAGGTGTCATGGCCATGATGCCAAACGCATTGCAACCCTCTTGCCTCTGCCTTTGTTTTTCTTCCGATGGCCCTGTATTTCTACCTTTTAGGACTTCACCCGGCTGTAGGTTTCCACTCATTGCCGCCTTGATCCCAAGTGTATACAGCAATCAGCATACACAAGTTGCCGTGTATACCTCATACCGCGTACACTCTCTCGAAGCTGTCGGGTGTGTCTCTCGTATGACCAAACAAGCTTGTCATGTAGCGAACCGTCCGCAAGCTTCAGCCCTTATCCTTGAACGACGTTCGAGAAGCCGCACAGCAGAAATCAGGCTATTCGCTTGTCATGTAGCACACTGTAATGGCTAGGTACCTACCTGGATGCGTACCTAGGTAAAAAAACCATGGGCGTGCGTATGGGTGGATAAATCGAACGGCTTGCTTCGCTGGCTTCGCTATCCCTGCTATACGAGGGCGTGTGCTTGTACTCAATGCTACTTTTGCATGCACTGCCGCACCATCTTGATGGATATAAACGATATCGAATAAGATTATTACATGCATGCGCTGTATGAAGTGTGCCCATCCGAAAGGATACCATATGTCACCCGTACGATATGCAAAGGTACACTCCTACTTGACACGAGTGGCCCCTATGGAGTGTTGCTTGTGTGCCATTATCGATCTTTTGGAGCACTGCTCCGTACATCGGCTGACACGGACTCCGCATTACGTCCCGCGGCCGGCCGGGGCGCGCCGTCGATACGAGCCAAATCACGGCCGCCAGCCGAGTTGCCATTGCCTGACCGAAGACGCGCTGCGGCTATACTCTGACACAGCTCTTTGGGTTTGCTTCTCTTCGCTATTCGGAGTCGAGAGGCTGCAGATCGAAAGAGAAGCCAGGAAATGAGGAGGAAGGGACAGCCCCTTGCCCCCATCCTTGCCCTCCATTCCTTCGTCCTCGCCTGGTTTGCTGCTTTCATGGGAGGCGTGGACCCCAAATTACGAATCCGCTTTCCACCGCGTCATTTTCCAGACTGTCGGGACCGACAGGGTATGGGTGTGCCGTACAGTGTGACTGTGTTCATCCGCGAATCCCGCCCGAAAATCAAGGCCAGGTCAGAGAGTAAAATGCCCGTTGGAAAAAAAAATGAAAATAATACAACGGAAAGAGCGGACAAAACCGTCGAAATCGCGATGCGAATGGCGAACACGTCTTCAAGAAGGCCTCTCTCTGCGCGGCTGCTGGCAGATCGAGCTGTTCTCTTAGCGAGCGGGATCGATGGCGAGGCGGCTACCAAGCGCCCTATCCGCAGGCCGGCTTAACATTGTGGGCACATCTGACACTTAATCTTGCCCGTGCTGCCATGTGCTGCCAAGCACTACGAGTCAGTAGTACTCGAAGCAGCAGCTGAACTGCTTGCAAAAATGTCAATTTGATGGACAGATGGAAACAGGATGAAAGGATACGCAAAAGACCGAGTAAGAGGGCTCAAGGCCGCCCTTGTCCGCATCTCTGCTTCTCTCGTGTTTCGTTTTTGGCAAGGCATTCTGCTGGCTGAACAGCATCTCTTCTGCAATGCTACCATTAGCGCATCTGCACTAGCAGTGCTTGGATCATGATTTTCGAGCTTGGGCCCCAGCCCCAGCTATTCCAAGGTTTGCTCCCCTGACGGTCTTAAGCGACACGATCCCAAGCCAGCCGGCCATGTGCTGACCATGCTAGCTAATCGTTTTGTGATCGTGCGGGCTGCCAAATCCAGTTTCCGAGCATTCTCAACCCAAGCATTGCACGATTGACAGAGCCATTTCTCGCAGTGAACTTTCCTCTGGCGCGACCATAGAAAGATGGGTGTCCTTAATCTTTCCCATGACAGCGAGAAAGTCAAAAGAACAGCACAGTAAATGCCAGCGTCTCATTTTCAATGGAGTCAGAAGGGGAAGGGGGGCGGACAGTGCATGCGTGCTTGCATGTGAAAAAACACGCACTGTCACTCCGCCTGTAGCGTAACAGGGAACGGGCAAGGAGCCAGGGGAGCAAGGCGTAGGTACTCGTACGAGAGTGTACTTTGTCAGAGCACTGCAGTAAAGAGTTGCTCCATATGGGGACTGCGTGTCGACAACGGAGTGTGTGTACTGCATGTTTGCAGCCAAAAGCGCCCAAGTTTGGGCTTTTGTTCGCTGGCCACCAATAAAGCGCCTCCGTATGGCCGTCTTGGAGACAGCTTCGCAACACTTGGTAGCAGAACGCGCCCTCCATGGGCCCGGCAGGGCTGCTGCAGCACCGTTCAAATATCCAACCATAAGCGACACCCATGGCCAGCGTGCCAGCCATGTCATGGAAACCCGCGACCGTTCGTCTCATCTCGCCTTTTCTCCTCTCGCGGGCCACCGCGAAGCAGGCAAAAACGGGGGCAGCCAGGTCTCGATGCAAGGCCGGTGGAAACAGCAGGGCATTTTATCCAGTCAGGGCTCAGAAGACGCGCCCAGCAGGCATTGCAACAGGCAACACGGCCTGGCCGTCCATACTGCGACGAGCCCACACCACCAGTTCCCAACTGTCGGGTTCGCGCTTTGCCTGGAGCAGAAACAGCTGCATCACAAACCCTGGAGGGGGCAAAAAGAAGAGGCGAGGAGGTGAGAGCAAGCTGGCCACAGCATGAAATTGCGGTGCGAGGCCATGCGTGGGCCGAGGGTGCACAGAATGGAAGAAGAGCAGAGGCGGAAGCAGATGGCGATGGCGATGGAGAGGGGAGAAAAGAAAAGAGAGCGGTAAAGCCGCAGGCTGTACCATATCAGCTGTCCACCTTATGTGACTCATTCAGGCAAAGTCGAGGGAAGGAGCTGGAGTCGATGACCGCTGCGTAGCTCTTGCACGACGAGATGGAGCATTGCGCTGCAGCCTTCTCCCTCCTTCCTTGCTTTTGCCTTGCTGTTTCTCATTCCCTCTCTCCCCCACCCCCCCGTTCCTTCCTCTTCCCCTTTGGCCTATTTTTATTTCCTTTTATTGCTTTTGCTTTTTTTCTTTTCTATTCTTTTCTTGATTTATTTATAAAAAAAAAAAAAGCCGATGATTGCTGTCGCAGTTAACTGCTGAGCGCTGGGCGCCTTCTGCCGGAAAGCCTTGCACCAAATTTGGGTGCGTCTGGGTACGGTACCTGGATTAAATCCTACAGCGGTCTCTATAGCCGTGTTGCCATTGTGTAAATCAACAGCCGTAGATGCCATGCATGCACAGCGCCCAGCCACAAGGTAAAAAAACGCACAGTACGAATATCCCAATTGGCACTCCAAGTACTTTTTACTCGGTGTTTCTCGGCCATTTCGAAGGCGTGCGGAAAGAAGAAAAAAGACAGATGGAAGCGTCCACACACCTAAATAAAGTACCTGCCGGGCTATGGTCGCAGGATATGGCTAGTAGAATGCGAGCTGTCTGCGGCCCACAGTTTCGCAAGCCGCAAACTACAAGCTGCAAGCCGCAAGCCGCAAGCCGCAAGCCATTATCGCCGTGTATACCTGGCTATTTATGGCCGACGTATGTCATCTATGCGCTACCGCAAAAAGATAGATTACCTAGTAGATACATGTAGCCATGTCGCAGTAGAAATCCTCCGTTAATAGAGACTTGGACAAAGACTTTAGTCTCCCAACTGTTACTGCGTCAAGCACGGTATCGTAGTAACGTTGTATTGATTGTTTATTTTATGTATTACTCCATGCGTCCAACGACAGAGTTTCCTATAGACAATGCGATGTAAACTCAGTAAGCCAAAAACATTATGCATCTAAAGATATCGTGAGATTTGTACCCGTCTTTAAATCATCCCAAGCCCCCCTCCCCCCAAACCCTTGGCTATACCAGCATGAACAAGAGAAAGATGAAAAAAGGTGACAAAGACTAGATGAGAAATTAAGATAGAAAAATGTCAAGACAAATAAATAAAACAGATCTTGAAGAATAATGCGTGATATCTTTGAAGAAAAAAGGAATGATGGTTCTTCATCGAGAAGAGTGAAGATTTCTAAACAGTGAAACAAAGAAAAGAGTGTGAGAGAGACGTCTTGGGGTATTGCCCACCCCAAAATCTTCCTTCGCCAAATGATTTTGCTCCATCCCCCCTGGACGTGACGCCGACCATAGTCCCCGCATCAAGGTGCTTTTGAATTTGACTGATGATACACTGATACCGGTGGAATGTAAGGGCTGGCGACGGGGTGGGCGTTGATGCGTGCCAGATGTTCAGACGGAGGAAGTAGAGTATCGTGCTCCATCTTGATCGGAGCCCGGTTCTCCCACAAATGAGCATTCATCATTTCACCGTTTACAGTAGACATGTCGTCGTCCCAGCGCTCTCGTCGTGCGGCGAATACCTGATTGATCACCTCGTCTTCGTTGTGAGGGACCTGTGAAACTCGCAACAGGTCGTCGCTCACAGCAATGTCTCCACCTGGTTCTCCCCGACCACTGGATCGCTTCTTGACAACTGACTTGCGGCGGCGGCGAATACACTCGTCCAAGCCCTCGATATAAATCGCTTCTTCCCACTTGAGGTCATTGACAATCTTGATTTCAATGTCGCTGGCGCTTAGAAGCATGTTTCGGGACCCGCCCATCTCAAGGAAGTAGTTGAGAATGAGTTGATATCTGTCTCTCTCTAGTCTCTTGTAAGCGGCTTCGAGTATTTTCTCCTTTTTGATAGCAAAACGCCGTTAGCATCGCGAAGAACAGGACGGACAAGGAGTAGCATAGTCAACTTACATCTTGATCAAGCCAGTCATAGAATTTGGAACGGCCGCGTTTGAATTTCATCTGTAGCATTTCTTTACCGTGCTTCTTGCCAAACCTCTTGGTAAAGTCGGCTTGAATGCTATCCCACATATCTTGCCCCCGTTGCGAGCGGTGTCTCCATCGAGACTCAAAGATGCATCTCTCCTCTTCGGGACACCCCTTCTTGATGGGTGGAGGGACTTCTTGACCGAAGCAGTTTTTGTGTTCATCGCCAGGGTCAGCTTGCTGTTGACCACGAAGCGAGGCACCCCTCTTTGATGACCTTGACTTCTTCACTCGCGTGCTGCCCTGAGTTACAGGGCGACGGCGAGGAGAACCGCTGGAAGAGCGGTGAATGGGGTCGGTGCGACTGCTATAGCTGCGATCATCTGTGCTGGCTCGCCGGATGTCATAGTGCGAACTGTGCGGCTGGCTGAGAAGGGATGGCGGGTGAGAAACGCGCTCCATGTCACGGTGTTGCGGATCCAATGGGAGCTGACGGCTGTCTCGCATCAGCATGGAGTTTTGACTGTCCATGCCCATATTGTTGACATAATAAGGCGCCGGGCCCTGGCTGTGGATTGGCTGCGTGTCTGGGCCATCAGATACGCTGAAGGCCCCATAGTATGGCTCCGACGGAGGGTTGGGTGTGCGACGTTCTTCCATGTAAAAGTCTTGTGCCACTGGAACATGGCTGTTCATTGGGGGGCTGCTGTGCGCATTTTGATTGTGCATGTCGAACTGGCTGCTCCACGACTGGTGATACATCTTGGAGCTTCCAGGAGGGGTTGGCACCTGTGTATAGGGAGTGCTCGGAGGAGGAGGATACTGCGCCCCTAATTTACGGATCTGCTGGAGCGGGGGAGAGCTGGTGGAAGAGATGGGAGTAAGAAGGCTCGAGTCGCACGAAGCAGGGATGTTGAAAGAAGAGACCTATGGGGAAAAAAAAATTGGTAAGCTTGCAGCCATTGCAAGAGGCAGGACAAGACAGGGGAGAAGAGAGCTACAAAGCGGCGAAGCAGAGGGCAGGGTTCTCGGGAGTAAGGCGGGAAATACATACCGCTGAAAAGGGCGTCACTTCTGAATAGGTTGGAGTGCCCACAGACACGATGGATCGGTCGTCAGACAAGCCGTGAGATCCTGCGAGGTCACCTGTGTGTGGTAGACCTGCAGTAATGTATTGTTGTTGCTCTACCATGTTCATGCAGGTGGAGCTTTGGGTAAGGTGCCTTGGACGTTTCCAAAAAAACCAGCCAAGGACTTGTTGTCGAGTAAAAGAAAAAAAAAAGAGAAAGAATAGAAGTGCAATGGTAATGCAGCAGTGGAAAGAGATGCGTGTCGCTTGGAGTTCGTAACGAGGCACGTTTAGGTATTAGGTAGGTAGGTAGGTATATGGAGGGACAAGATGACTGGAAGGCGGGTATGAGGGGTGGATTATTTGCAATGACCAAAGAGCCGTCAAAGGTGAAGGTGAAGGATTGTGCCTACTGCCTTGGCCGCGGCGGTGGATGGTCGAAAGGTGCTGATGATCTGGCAGGGGAAGAACAGAAGAGCTGCTCGAGTGGTGGATGAAGAAGGGAATCTTGCGAGGAGGATGAGACAGGAAGAGATGGCAAGAGTCTTTGTATAAATGGAGGCTCAGATCAACAGCCGGGCGAGCTCTCAGGTAGCATCCAAGATTGCAAGGAAGTGAGTCGACGAGCACACGGAAAATCAGTACAAAGTGTCACAGCGTGGGACTAGCATACAGGGGATCGCTGTTCTTAACCCTGGTATTAACAATCGACCGGGGGGTCGGGGAGTGCAGCTAGAGTCGTATGGCGTCGAACTAAGCCCCCTGTCGACGCAGGCAGGGCGGCGGTCGCAATGTACCGTACAGTGGCAGATACTGTCATGCCGTGCATGAGATAGCCGCCGAGGGTGCGACTTAGGCTAGAACACGTCGAACTGGAGATTGGGCTTTTGCTGGAGTAGACAGGGGCGTGGGAGCGAACAGGTGGGGGCGTAGATCTAGCAGATCCAAGGAGATGCCGATGTATCTTTTTGTGTGCAGTAGCACCACCGCCGTCTGTATCGAGTACGTACTGCAATTAGTCCGATGAGTGCAGCTCAAAAGCATGCGGTGGACACATGACAATAGAAAGGCCGTTCTTGCAAGCTGCTGGCTGTCGGATACGACTGGATAGGGACAAGGACATCCTAAAAGAGGCCGAGCCAGAGCCAGAGAACAATCAATAGCAGCGGGGACACTAAACCAAGGGGAAGTGAGTGCCTCTTTCGATCATTTCTGCCCCGGCGGCGGTCGGTGAGCACGGGCGACTGCGTGTAATTAGATGGGCGGTAGGTATAATCCAATATCAAAGTATATACCCAGTACCGGACTTGATCATCCGACACTACTCGATAGATTGATAGATTTGCCTCTGAATTGCTGTTGCTGCTCTCAGCTTCAGATGCGTTTATGAGCCACAATAAATAACACATCCAGGGGCGATCACTGACTATGGAGAAACAGCTGAGACAGATGAAAGTGCTTCCAAGAGCCACTGGCGTTCCTAGGTAGGCAGTGAACCATTTCAGCTTTGAATAATATGTCGGCGATATACTCGTAATTGCTATGGAGCAAAGTATATTTGCGCAGAGATGGTTCCTGCAGGGGCCAAATCCATCTCCACTGTTCATGTGAAGACGCTCATCGGGGCCCCGACTGCATCACGGGCAGAAGCTAGTAGTATGATGGGCACATCCACCGCTGTAAGACGTCATATCACAACCTCTGAGACTCTCAGCCGGGCCTCCATTGCCGCCTTTGAAAAGAGTATTGAAGGCTGAAAATCTCTTTGCCGGCCTGATTCATGGCATAGAGGCTGCAAGGGGTGTTCGATGTGAGGGAGGGGAATAGATCCATAGTATCGTATCCAAGGCAGAGCCAGCCGCCACGGGGGAGAAACCGAAGGCCGCCCGCGGTGCGCTGGCAGATGCAAAATCCCGGCATGGGGCATGAGCATCCAAAGCACAAAAGACACCGCGATTGCCGAGATCGTACTAGCAGCCAGCCATCTCTCGCAGCTCTCCGAACGAGATGAATGAATGAGGGCAATGCGAGGAAGCCTCAATAGCTCAAGTGGCAGAAACCAGGATCCGCCGGGCGGTGGGGAACTGGAAATCATTCGCTGGTCTAAAATTCCAGTTCGACCTAGTAGGGCTATCTTAGCTGAAGCGTCGCCCCAGCCGGGTCTAGCGCGCTGTCTTCCTCAGCCAGCAGGCAGAGGTTCTGTGTACCTGATGGAATGTGACGCCGCCCACCAAGCCCAGCGGTAGCCAGTACGAGCCTCCGCACGCTAGCACTTGCCTTACTCCAGAGCATCTCGAAAACTGCAGGAACTGCGCAAAGGACAGTCGACAGGCTGCTGGAGCGCTTCGTACCTGCCTGCTACTAGTAGTATCAAGTGTGCAGTGTGAAAAGCAAGCAATCCAATCTTCCATCTCGCAGTCTGCCTCGAAATGGGCCGCACCGCAGCACTGCCTTTTGCACCACATCGCCAGCAGCACGGTGCGGCCAAAACTGCCGGCCATGCCCACATTGGCGTCTTTCTCGGAGCCAATCTTCATCAGAGAATCGCGGTTTGCAACGCTCTAGCGACTCGTCTCAGCCCACGGCGCTGCCGCAGCTGCTCGTGGCCAAAGACGCAACCAGACTCCTCATGTACGTGGCCCGAAAAGCATTTGCCAGGAGCCGGCCGGCAGACGTGACACGCCCTAACTTCAAGCGCAGGATCTATCCCACAAAGAGAGCCACGCCGTCTTTGGCCAGGCCACGCTTTGGATTGTGCCCTGAGCCTAGCATCTCATTGACAGTGCCGCTAGCTTCGGTCTGCAGCCGTGCGCAGCTACCTCCAAGTCTCGAAAGCCTCTACTCCACGGGTCTAGCAGATTAGCATCAGAGCGGTCTGAGTTAAAAGCTGCCTTCCGACCTGCGTGCCCCGACGACGTATCCGCAATCCCCGCGGAGGGAGATGATCGCCCAAAGCCAAGGCTGATACCCGTCGCGACCGACGGCTGCTTGTATGTCGATTCGGATGATGGCGGCGTTTGCTTTGAAACAGCTTCAAAAGAGACAATCTAATCTAAGGCTACGGTTTCGATACGTCTGTTCATCGACGCTCCTTCTCCCCCGCCTTCTCTCGCCTGGCTCCGGTCGGTAGATCAGCAGCCGTCGATTGAGAACTCCCTGAAAGGGGGCGCGGCTTGTGTTGCTTATTTATCCAGTGGATCATGACTGTTAGCTAGAAGAATGCTAAATGTGCCGTCCATTCTCTCAGCCATTCAGCCAGTCACTCGGTCACATCACATCATTCAATGGCTTGTCAGGTGGCAATCATGTGTTTTCAATAGATGCCCAGGCAAATAGCGTAGCGGAAGCTTGCCACGCCACGCTCCGTGCTCATGCGCACTGATTCCACTCTTGACGCCTCTAGCGCAGCACTGTTCCTTGAGCAAATTTCATGAGAGACAGTAGCCACTCTTCAGGATAGAGCGAACGGCTGGTGCTCCCGCTTTCGCTACCATGGTTGGCTCTCTATCTCCTTCTGCCACGGCTAGTGCACTCTGTAGCAAGCAGCCAGGCCAGATTTCGGAAAGTCATGCTGCCGAGACGTCGAACAGCCTTTGACAGAATACGCAGTGCGAGCTGGCAAGACACCAGTCCCACTTAGCAGAGTTCAGTGCACGCAGTAGCCAACTCCGACTGCCCTACGAGACTGCTAAGCCCGTCGCTATTGACCGAGTCAAGTATAAGGCCTAAGCAGGAGAGACATGACCAAAAAAGACAGAGTTTCAGCACCTTTGGATGGTAGAGTAATACGGAGCAGTCGTCTATACTCACAGCGGCCCACCTAAATGCATCTCTTGAGTGCGTATAGGTCGCATCGCACATGCTGCCCGATACCCCCGTCCACAGTTGTATGAACGCACGAGGTCTCGCCTTAATTTCCACGCTGTCGGGACCGTAACATTCTCAAATCTCGCGCAGCGGAGTCGAGGCCATGTCGAACTTTTGTGCAATGCCGCAGCAACCCATTCGGCATGGGGTATCCTGGCGGAATTCGTCCGAGAGGAAGCCGTACTCCATATGGCAGTGGCCGAGAGAGAGATGCATGAGCTTGAGAGATGCGGCTCCGCTGCCCTGGGCAGACGGCTGCAGGCAGTTGGAGTGTGCCTCAGTTGGAGTGTGCCTCTTGCTTCCGCTGCAGAGCTTGGAGCCTGCCTCGCCAACGGGAGACAGTGGTTCTCAAGGCACTGCCGAAGCGATCGTGCCAACGATCAGAGTTTCCTGCTGTTAGCCTTGGCTGCTTCTTTTTCCCGCTTTGACTCTACATTGCTGTCCAACATGATCTTGCCGCAACTCCAGTAACGGCACATCCCAAAATGCGGAGCATCAACATGGGGGAGTCGGAGGGATGACCGCCGACTGACGACAGAGGCCGGGTAGTAGCGCCACACCGTTTCAATGCCCCCTATCTGGACGAATTATTAGCGGTGGCAGTACGACGTCGTAGCCGGAGGACAAAAACCGAAGCGGAATGACAGAATGACTGGCCTGGGAAGGGAGTCATCGAGGACGAAAGTGATAGGCCCAGCCTGTGGATGATCCGGCTGGGACTGAGAGCCAAGCAAGGGGGCAGGCCTCTCGCTCTTTTTTTTTCTCTTTTTTTCGCCCGCGTGCTGGTTCTTGCGACGACGCAGCAGAGTTCGGCCCCGCGTCTGGCCACTCATCTGATGGCATCGCGCCCCATTGCGCTACTGCGCACTAGCATAGTGCGATCCGTCCCGTCGGTACGCGCTAGCAAGGATTATCTCGATCCGCATTGGACAATAACGACCACGCCCCCTCCACCGGCCAGGTATCCTTGCTGCTGCCCGCACAGCCCTTGTTCGGCCAATGGGCGCCCTCTCCGGCGTTTTACGCTAGTCCGCAAGCGACACACCTACGCGCGCGTCTACCCGCCTTGAAAACACCTGCGATTGGGTACCGATAGCGCAGTAAGCGAGCCTGCACTGTAACTACAGACCTACCTGCTCGCCGCAAAAGGCCGTCATAGAGGCATCCTACGTCCTCCTTGCCAGGTTGATCGGCCTCTCGACCAACAGCATTTTTCTATTTCCGCCCACCTATGCAGCTGTTCGTGCTGGTTGGGGTGCTCGGTACCGCATTCAGTGGCCTCTGCTTTTCGAGATGCCTAGCGAGACTAGGCTGTTCTGTGCGGTTACGGTATTGTCTTCAGGGAAGAGGAGGGCCATGTCTCGTATTTCTCCGGACCATTTTACATCTCAAACTGTCAACATACGCCATTGATGCTCCCTACACGAGCGCTGCGGCGCGCTTATACTCGATCTGCGGCCTTGTTCTGCGGCCTTGCTCTGCTTCGCCGCACTCGAAGGATCTGCCACAACAATGAAGACAGCCTTGCGTTGAGCCATCTCGCAGTGCGCAATCTCACATGGTGCCAATAGGTAGTGTCATTGCTCGCATATCATCTGCCAATGTGGTGTGGTAAAACAAACACTACCTAGTTTGTTGCTGCTCATTAGACTGCCCCTGACTTCTCCCCTGGCCGTTCCTTGTTTGCGTGATTCGGCCTGTTTGTTAAATGCTGTTGGTCATGGTTCCGGAACGCTGAGTACCGACTAACTTTGTCAACCCCGTGCCAAATGCGTCTCGCTCTACGCCTTTGCCTCTTGTCACTCAGATTCTACACCTTTCCCACGCTCTTAGCATGCCGCTGTTGCAAAAGCTTCTATCCAGGCTCCCCCCTCCCTCCCCTCCTCCATCAAGAGTGGAACACTCGGCGGCTATTTCGACAGCGGACAATCATTTGTTTGTTGACGACCACTGTTCTTCACATCTAAGCGCCGACTCTGCAGCCATCTAAGCGATGGCTTTCCCCCCTTTCTTTCGCGTTTCCAAGACGTTGCCGCGACTTCACTACTACGCCCGCGCCTATGAGCCTACGATTAGCCGCGAGGCCCCAACGAGCACACCAGAGGGCGATCTTGTCTTCGAAATGCTAGCTCTACGTGATCTTTTGATCGATCTAAGCGATTCTTACGTGTAAGCAATCCAGGCACTGGCAGGCTGTTGGTGCCTGTTTTGGCTAGTCCGATTCGCCCCATGTCCCATGTCTCTGTACTAGCATGTGCTCATTCTCGATTTCCCCAACTCTTTTCCTCTAGACTTTTCTCTGGCGGTAACGTGAACTTCGCATGGCCGAGCTGCTTGTTGGTACTAAGCACTTGAGAAATCAAACGGCATGGCGTGGAACGATCCGCCGCAAGGCGTTAAGGCCTCAGATTCCCGGCAACTAGCAGTCGATCTTTATCTCTGCACTCTCAATAGCGGGTGAGCACTGGGCTACGATTTCCAATCTGCTGTGCTGTTGGTTCGTCCATCATGATTGCGACACTTGCTTCTCCCCTCCCCCCCCTCTCCCCTCTTCCTCCAGCAGCGCGCTACTTGCAAGCCTGCTTTTGTACCTTCTGAAAGTAAAGTAGGTATTGCCTCGTGGTTTACTGATACGACTCATATTTCCTTCCTTTGGATAGCGGCGATATCATCTGTTCTCAATCGTTTTCGTTTCCACTGCACAAGTTTCTAAAACCCACCTTTAAAAGGGCAGAACCTGCCTAGGGAGTACACAAACTCTATTTCAAGCTGCCATGATACGTCAGATGATTACATGTTTGTCTATGAAGCAAGGTTATTCTCAACTAAACTCTATAGCAAGGTGAGCCACACACATTGCTTGCTAGGTAGTCTTAGTTTCTCCCTAGGTGAGGAGTACAGAGCGAAAAGTTGTCCTGCTGCCCTCTCACCCTAGGTACTTACTCCGAAATAGCGCGATTCAGAAGTGTCGATAATTGCCACGGTTGGCTCGTTTACAGTGCCATGGGCTTCAGCAAATCTGCCCTTTGTACTGACAAAGTGTTGAACAGTAGCATGCCGTCGCTGCCTGGGTCCAAGATTAGAGACCGTCGAATCCAAGTTCAGATTCTAGGCGCGTACAGAGACGTCTCTGTCCATTCACATCCTGGTCTTTCAAGCCAGGATGAGTTGGTAGCCACAGTTTATTCGAAAGTACAGATACTTTTCCTCGCATTAGTACTCTAGCTCGCTCCCTCCATCTCCATGCGCGTGGAGACAATGGCACTGGGATGATGCCGGATACAGGGTTCTTTACTGCCTTAGAGCAGCATCTTGGCTCCATTAGCCCCTTGATTTTTTACAGCCTCTTGTCCACCCGTAAGGGTATGATGGCCGTGGCACTTCTGTTGCCACCATCGACCGCCCGTATGCGGGATAAGAGCGTGGACGCAGACGAATGACTTGCCCCCTAACACCACGCCCTCTCCCATACTTCATCCGTGCCCCGACTAGGAGTCCATCCTGGTATTTCTCACCGGTATGAGCGGCTCAAGCTTGGCCAGCTCACTCTGGCCCTCTTCATTAGCTGCAAATCTTCTGAGGTCTAGCCTCCAAGACGCGTGCTGTTCATAGTTCTCACGGAGCACGCGGGCTAAAGGCCGCACCGTTATTGCCGACTTTTGCAGCCCACCCGAGCAGTTCTCTTCATGACTTGGCATTGGCTAATATGATGCCAGCCACGCACACATATTGGCTATGCAAGCTCATGAGATACCTAGTTGCAAAATCATGCCGCCCAATCAGCCAATGGTGAGCGAAGAAACAGACTGCATCATTCTCCTTGGCTAAAGCCCGCGTCTTGAACATCTGCCTGAAGGAGGGGGTGAAACTCGTCCGGGCCGACGAATGTCTTTCAC